AAATTGGAGGCAATGAAAACTCATCCTAAGTGATGACATCTGGAAAAGCAAATATTTTCTCAGAGCTCAGCCAGGCTTGCAAAAGCAACTTGCTTGGCTGTATAGGGTGACTCAGAATTGCCTCCAGGTGACCAGGCACAAAGCCTCGTGATGAACAGAAGGGCTGGGTTCCTGCTCTTCTTTTCTCAATTTTGACTCCTTATTCCAATAAGTTGGATAAACGGTTGTTTGCTCACCCACGCCTTATGTGTCCTGTGTTCTTGAGCCAGATCCCTGGACATCTAAGGGGGATTTGCCTACCAGACACTCCCCCACAGTTGACTTCAGTTGCTCCTGGTGCAGGTGCTGGTCTTTTTTTTGGGGGGGGGGGCAAGCCTGGGCTGTGTCTATATGGCCTTCTTGACTGTGAAAAGATGGAGCTGTCCTGTACAAGAAAATTTCCAGCAGGGAATTTTTCCTGCTGTTGCTGCTGCTGTTTCTCAGCCCTCCTGCTGCTCCTTCTCCAGGCTGCACCCTGGTTCTACTTCCTCCTCCTCCTCCTCCTCCTCCTTCTCTTCCTCCAAGACGGGGCAGATTGTTTTCACTCCCAAAATTAAACTGTAATTTTTGCCTAAAAATAAAACAGTGAGAAGCGTGGATCTCGTGACTGCAGCTGAGGCCCTGCCGCCAAGCTTGCGCAAGGCTGGCCCAGGGGCCCTGCAGTGCACTTTGCACTCCTCCTCGGTTGCACGAGGGTTGGGCCCCTGCCGACTCTGCTGGAGTTCAGAGTGGGAGGCGCTGAGCTTCGCCCCCTTCCCTCCTCTCCACGACTGCAGGGACAGATTCCACTGGTGAAGGGAAAAGAGGGGCTGGGTGTGTCAGGCTTCCTTGATTTCACACTAGACCTGCCTTGGACCTAGAAACAGACCCAGTTGCTAGGTGCACACAGAGATTTCTGCCTAAGTTACCAAAGAGGATGAAGTTTCCAAATTTCATTGTGCAGCTTCCTTCCAAGGATAATGTGGCCATGAGCTCTGGAGCAGATTCTGGATGGCCAGCGGTCAGCCCTGCAATGCAGAGTGCAGGGACCCCAAATTTCCTGTCCTTTTGGGGAAGAGGCTGGCAGTGTAGGGGCTGAGCCCTCCCCAGGCCGGATGGGGTGAGGGAGTCAGAAAGTAACCACTGGTCTGGGGTGGGAGCAGCTTCTGAAACCTCCACCAAGCTTTCCCGTAGAATAAATGAAGGCTGTGAAAGCCTCCCTCACCCAGAATCGGGTATGGGTCACTCCTGTCTCATTCTCTGTCTGGCTTCTACCAGCCTGCGCATAATTACGTTCTTGGATGGTGCACCCTGGCTTGAGAGATGTGATAAATGGGGCTGGCGTTTCTGCAGCCGCCTGCATGGCTGATTGGGCTGTTCGGATGTGCTTCCTGGAGCCCAACGGCCAGAGGATGAGTGGGAAAGACGAGCAGGGAGGCAGTTTGGCCACGGCTGGTGCAGAGATTAGAGCTGATGCGACTGCTGAGATGGACTTGGCCTGCCAAGCAGCTAGCATTGGGGGGGGGGCAGGCTGTTAAAGCTTGCAGAGGTGAAGAAGTGCAGTTCTACCTGTCATCCTTCTCAGCCTGCTGCCCTGTCATTTCCTTGTCGCATTTTCACTGGCAAAGCAGCAATTTGCTTCCTCTGCAGCCAGGGAAGAATTGATGACTTCTCCCAAATTCCCAAGCGCTGCTCAGCCACCTTCCCAAAACCACCTTCCTATTTCTTCCCCCTAATGGAAAGGATCCTGCAATTACCTTTGCAGAGAGCCTGGGCCAAAGAAAGACGGGCAGACATCCAGATATCTTAAAAGGTACAACTCCCAAGAGCAGCATCTTCCTTCCTGCACTCGATCTGCTTGCCTAAAATGCTCACCAGGGGTTAACTGGGCCATGGTTTATTTGGATAATCCCACGGCCTGGACTATTTGACACAGGTGCACTGGGTTTGCCCTGCAAGGTAGAGTAAAATGTGATTGGCTAGTTTGTGGTGCCCTGTTGGTATTGAATAGAGCAATTGCTAAACCCAAAGAGCAGGACAAGGCTCCTAATTTTTAATGGTGAACCATAGCAAACAGTGCCTCTAACTGGGTTTCTCTCTTCAGCTAGACTACAGCTATATAGCTTAACTTTAAAGTGTGCGTGCAATTAAGCCAGTGTTTCTCAAACTTGGCAACTTTAAGATGTGTGGACTTCATACTCTCAGAATTCTCCATCCAGCAAACTAGTAGATAAACCAAGGTTATGATACTGGGCTTTGCTTTGGAGGTGGAAAGAGAAAAAAAATCTGGGTCTTGTAGACTACAAAATCAAGAGAGTTTTCCTATCTGGTGATGAAAAGAATGAGAGCCCATATTTGGGAAACTTGATCTTATCAAAGGTGGGTTGGGGATATTTTCGTTCACCAAACATTCAGGGAAGGGCTTGTTTTAAAGCAGAATGATTAAGACGGAAGGCATTTCCAGCTGTTTGTTTCTCTCTCCGCCTTATCTCTTAATTTGGCTAAGTTCTGGAGGTTTTAGGGAGGCCAGGAAGCTGGCAGGATTGGGCTGGAAGCCGATTGTGTAAGACTTCCTGTTGGAAGTTTGCAAAAGTTTTTCCTCACCCTCAAGACACAGACTCGGCTGAGTACCTCCTACCTCCTTTCTCGGCTTGTCTTTAAGCATCAAACTGGCCTTTTGGTTACACAAACCTGGCTGTTCTGCTTGTTTTTTAAAAACTCTCTCCCTTCTTGACAAGGGAGCAGAGCCAAAGACTTTCCTGCTTTGGTGCCTGGGTCTTGTGCAGTCTTCACTGGGGGGTAGGATTCTGCAGTGGTGGTCTCCACCAAAGCAGGAGGAAAGTCAGCCTCGGTCAGCAAGTGGCGGGACCCGGCCCAGCCCAATTTCCCTTACAGCTTGTGGTTCTCCTTTCGAGGGGCTGCTATAAGGGAGATTGGGCTGGGCCGGGTCCCGCCACTTGCTGACTGTGGCAAGGGGTCCTTGGAACCGAGAACTGGGGCAGGGGGGCTCTGCCCGGGGGAGGGGGAGTTGAGCCTCATAGGTCCCTTGCTAAGAGGACCGGATTCCAGCTTCTTGACCAGCAGGAGACGATGCCAAGGGCAGAGCGGGACGTGTGCTGTCCCCATTACTGGCAGGTTGATCTCATCTGTCCTGTTTTGAAAAGTGATCCTGCCTTTGGCTTTTCTCCGCTTCCACCTTTGCTGTGGATTTCTAAATTAAGGTTATAGTTGAGGGCCAGAAATTCACAGCTGCGTAGCCAGTGCAATATGAGCCTCCCCACATTAATATACCCGGGCTTGAGTTCCAAGCCACAACTGGGCTGCGTTGCTGTTTTGGTGCCCCTCGCATTGATTCTCTTGCCACAGAGAGTAGAGAAGAGGCCGCCATTGCTCCCCTTGACAGACTGAGAATGGGAGGGCAGAGGAAAAATGGATGAGGAGGGAAGAGGAGAGCAAAGCAATTCAGGGACCCTTTCCTGAAGTTGCAAAAGCTCCACTATGTTTTGCAAATGCCTGAAAACGCAATCTTGAAAGCCAAGAACCAGCTGCTTTAATGTCTTAAAATTTGTGGGCATCCAGATCAGACCTAACATCCCACAGCTTCTGCTGCTGGGGATTATGGAAACGAGTCCAAATGATCTGGAGGACACCATTTTTCAGCCAGGCCTGCTCCGTTGTTTCCAGTTCAGGACCGCTTCTTTTAACACTTAAAGCAGGGGGGTCCAGCCAGCCTTGGCCAGTTGCCATGGTTGCCCCCTCCTGCCTTAGAGGAAGGCAACCCCTCCATTCTCCTCCAGATTCTCTGGATAGCTGAGCTGCAGCTGTTTTGTGCAACAGCTTGTTTGGCTGGCTTGGCATCACCTCCCCCCTCCCTTCAAGGTTTCTGCCTGTGGGGAGGGGTGGGAAAACATTAGCAGAAGAACCTGGAAAGCCCCGAGGAAGAAATTGTTCTGCTGTAAGGTTCCTTCTCCGATCTTCCCCTTTTTGTTCCTTGGGGTTCAAGCCAGGGCTTGATTCAGCTGCTGTGGTTCTTTTGTCTGCCAGATGTGGAATGACGGGTTGGCCGCTGGGACTTGGAGAAGACATCAGGGGAAGGCCACGCTAAGGTGACCCACAGCTCCAACTTTCAAAGAACGGACCGCAAGAAACAGCCAAAGCAGCCTTGTCCAAACTTGGCAACTTTAAGATGGGTGGGATTTAGCTCCCAGAATTCCCCTGGCAGCATTCCGTAGCTGTGGAATATTCACTTACTTGAGCTTGGTGTCCCCTCATCATCACCTCCAGTCTTTACACACACACACACACACACACACACACACACACACACACTAATCGCTGGCTGCAATCAGTGGAAGAACGAATGCAACATCTCTCTCGTTGCACTCATATAGGTAGTCCTTGACTTACGACTTACGGAATTACAGTCATAAACCATAGCAGTCATTAAACAGGTTACCATGTGACCCTGTTCAATTTTATGAACTTTTTTGCAGCGGTTGTTAAGTGAACCCTGTAATTGTTAAGTGAACTTGTTTTTCCCAAATAGATGTTTTTGGCTGGAAGCAGACGCCAGAAACCAGCATAAAATGCCAAGGATCGCAGTCTGGCAACCGTGGGATGCTCCCCGTGGTTATAAATGTGAGCCAGTTGCCAAACATCCAAAATGTGATTATGTGACTGCAGGGGCGGCTGTTGGAACATGTGAAAAGAGTCACAAGATGCTCTGGGGAGGTCTGTCATAATTCGAACAGTCACTAAGCGAGTTGCTCACCAAGATAAGTAGCTGGGCCTCCCCACTTGCCTTGAGGAGCTTCCCTGTTTAAGCCAGGACTCCAGTTTGCTTGTTCTGCCTCCCAAGGCTGCCTGGTCCTGTTAGCTTATTTCCAAGATCCCCTTAAGGGAGGAAACCCAGATCCCCGAGAAATCCTGGGCGATCCTTCTGATCTGTGCTGACTGCATCTCCCTCTCTTTTGACTCCCCAGCCTGCCTCTTCCGATTCAATGGCCTCTCCCTGGTCTACCTTCTCTACCTCCTGCTCCTGCCGTGGTTTCTGGGCCCCACGGAAGACACCATCAAAGGTAAGGCAACCACATTCTCCCAGCTTCCTTGCTCATCAGGGCAAGGAACAAGCCCTCCCTCCCTCCCTCCCATGGGCCTTTGCCCTGGTTTTATCTCCCCCTTAGGTCTGCCCCACTGCCCAGCCAGAGTCGCTTTCCTTCCTGTTGCTGATCCCAGGGGTCTGCAGGCGATGTGGCCACTCCCTGGCTGGGCTCTGGCAAAGGGCCACACCATCTCCGGTTTCCGGAGGGAGTTGGAATTAACCCTTCCCGTTTGGAAGGCCAGAATTCTTTGGCTCAGGCATGCTTGAATTATGGGCTGGAGCAGTTTGCTCACTGTGGCCACAATGGAGCGAAGAAGTGGCCATACCTGCTTCAGGCACAGGAGAGCTCTTTGACCAATGCCAAGCAAGGAGAGGGTCCTCTGCTCGACTCCCTTCGTGAGACGGTGGGGATGGTCATCTCAGGTGGATGGTTGCCTTTTTCTTCAGGAGCCCAAGGCAGCTTTCTCTGTTTCAGCCTCAGAACCATCGCCCCGTGAAGGAGGGGTTTCTTTCTGCCATGTTTTCTCTGTTCTGTATTGGCTCATTTTTATCTCCCTGCAAAAGGGAGGAAGAAAGAGGATTATTATTTTTTTTGCAGAGCAAAGACAGAACTGATTTGTGGACACCCCCCCCCCAAAAAAAGTCCCAGGGATGGTCCAGGCTGCAGAGAGAGCCCCAGGGGCAACCCCCATCCCACCCTGTGTGTCTTAATCTGGAGAACAGCCCTTCCGCCCTTCCATCCCTCTTCACCCCACGGGTCCACTTTGCCAAAATGATTTGCTTCCTGCACAACTTGAGGGTTTCTGAAGATCGTCATCGCTCCGGGCATAAATAGAATTACAGACAGTGCTTGGCACCAATTCCGGCAGCATCTCTGCATTAAAGCAGTTTTTTCCCCCAGGGGATAGAAACCCAGACTCTTCCTCCTTGTTCCTTTTCTTCACTGAACTTTCTGCTGTTTTGTGGGTGTCCTATGCCAGCTTGGGTGCCTCAAGTTGAGACTTTGAGAGCTTTCTTGATTGGTGGGTGAGCCTGGCTTTTCAGAAGCCCCTTTCAGAAGACCAGGAGAGCAGGCGAGGATGCGTGCATTCACCCAGGCTGGCAAATCCTGGCCCTGCAGGCCGTTGTATCACCAGGACGTCTTGGTTGCAAAGGCACTTGGGAGCCCTCCCAGGGTGTAGCCAGCTTCTTCCAGCTCTTGTTTAATCAACCATCCTGCGGAAAAGAAAAACAGGCCTCTTGAACAAATATTTGTCTTCCACAGGGCTGGCAGGCAAGATGGATGAAGATCTGCCGGAGGGTTGGGGCAAACAACCCCAGCAGTTTTTCCATCCAAGGGAAAGGTTGCTGCAAACTCTTCCGCAGATTGTCAGGCTTTTAGTTCAGCTGAGTTGTTGGTTCCCTTCCAGTAGATTCCGCTGTCCCACAACACCCAAAAGCCCCCAGTTGTGTAACTTTATGGCTTTATGGCCAACCATGTGATATACGGAAAACTGGTGTCTCTGCACTTAAAAGACATTTTAAGGCCACTTAAAATCTGCCTGAGATAATCCGAGTTCTGGGACATGAAGCATTTGGCCGTCAAGGAGATTAGCTCACCATGTTTCTTCTGGTCCGGTTTCAGCTATTTAAGGCAGTATTTTTTTTTTTTTGCCCACACTTTTTCCCATCTTAGCTTTTTAAAAACAGACTGTAAAGTAATCTCTGCACCCAAGAATACAAAAAGAACCCTGTTAAAACCATTTGCACTTTAAATGTTTACGTTTTCCTGTTTTATTACTTTTTAACGCATTCAGTTAGGTAAAATTAAGACAAAAATACTTTTTTAGAGGAGGCACAGATCATGCTAACCATGGATTCTTCAACTGTGTCTTACCATGAAATCAGATTGGGTTAGATTTTAGCGGCAGTTGGAACCAAAACAAACCACAATATGCGATGCCCATTTCGGAAGCCAAACTTCATAAATTCTGCGAAGGCCTTCAGTGTTGTACAATCATTTGCTTCCCTGATTGCTGGGACTCGGCTGCAAAGAGGCTGGAAAAACTGTTCACTGATTTGGGAGGCCTGTGAAGTTTCATCCGTGTTAAGCCCCTTTGCACCTGGTCCTCGACTTACAACCACAATTTCTATTGCTAAGCGAGACACTTGCTGAAGTGAGTTTTGCCCCATTTTACGACCTTCCTTGCCACAGTTGTTAACCGAATCCAGCTTCCCCATTGACTTTGCTTGTCTGAGGTCGCAAAAGGGGATCACGTGACCCAAGGATGCTACGACCGTCATAAATATGAGCCAGTTGCCAAGAATCCGAATTTTGATCACGTGACCATGAGGATGCTACAATGGTCGTAAGCATGAAAAATGGTCATAAGTCACTTTTTTCAGTGCTGTTGTAACTTTGAACGGTCACTAAATGAACTGTTGTAAGCCGAGGACTGCCTGTATTCAGCTTTGCAAAGAAGTTCACAAAAACGGCTATTCCCGTGACTCAGTTGTACCTTTGCAGCAAACGAGAGGAACAAGATTTGGAAAGCGGCAGTTGCTTAGAGGTTCTCCTGCAGTCCAACTGGAATTACTCAGGGCAAAATACAGCAGCTTTCCTGGTGCTTGTGATCCCTCCCTCCATGGCTGCTGTAGGACTTGGCCATCCAGTGTTGTGTATTTTTCACAGCTTTTTGGATCTTCCTTCACTGGCGCCACCCCAGCATCAGCCTTCTTTCAGCCCTAGGCAAGGTCCATGTCGCCTTCTGTTCCTCTGCTCTGTCTCTGTCCTCCTCCCCCAGCAAATATATTTAGGCATATGGAGGGGGACAGAATGAGGTTCTTTGTTGTTTTCTCTCCTGTCCTTTCCAGCTGTCTCTTCTGAGGTGGGGTGGGGACATTAGTTTAAACCAGGAGTCTCCAAACTGGGCAACTTTGTGGACTTAAAGCTTGGCTGGCTGGGGAATTCTGGGAGTTGAAGTCCACAAAGTTGCCCAGTGGGGAGACCCCTGGTTTAAATTATAAATCAGCTTTATCTTCTCCGCTTTCATAGCTGCAGGCCGTGAGATGATTGAGCCCAGCCAAGAAGGAGTAATTAATCCAAATAATTAACCTGAAGGTTGGGTAGGTGATTGTCAGCTGAATAGCTGGAAGGAAGGAGGTGGTGAGGGGCAGGAAGGGGCTGGGGGAATGGCCTTTCTTTGCAGCCCAGAGCTATGGAGCCAATGAGGAAATAACAAATTGGTTAAGGAGGAATTATGGGGGAAACAGAAATTAAGATCCAGCCTAGGTGGTGTAACTTGTTCACACCCATATTTGGGGATTTGTCCCTATAGTCAGCATTACCCACTCTGACTGGCAGCATCTTCCAGGGTTTTAACCAAATTAAATGCCAATGCCGGAAACTCAACCTGCCCAACCAGTAAATTAGGGTTTGTTCTCAGGAAAATGCCATGGATAACAAAGGTTCCTCTTAACAAGTTAACGGCACTTTTTTTTAAAAAATTGGCCCATGACACTCACCGAACGGCATTGTTCAGAGCTGAGTCAAACACTGACAAGTACAGAAGAGCGTTACAGAGCGGAGGACTTCCATTGTTCATGAAACACAACCTTCTATTAAGTGTGTGCTGTTCTGTGACACTGCTGTCCCAGCCACAGAACAGTTGGCGGTGACCTCGTCCCCGGCGTATGAACCCCAGGAGGTAAATCGGAGAAGAAGCCCTTGGCTCCTTCCTGAGAAAGAGTAGAATCAGACCTCTTTCTAAATGTTAATGGAGGGATTTCAAGTTGGAGCTTGTCTTTTGCTCCCAGAGATTAAGCCATGCTGGCATCAGCTTCTGCTCATTGAAGACAACATTTCTTGAAAAGCCGGATGTTTTGCTTGTGTGTGTGTGTGTGTGTGCGCGCGCGTGCACTCCTTCAAGACAGTTTTGGCTCTTTGGAACTGTCGAGACAAGTCTGCACTGCTCTGGGTAACATGTTTGGAACTGGTTTGCCTTGCCTTCTTCTTGAGCTGAGAGACAATGACCTAGCTGGCTTCGTGCCTAAGGCAGGACTGGAACTCAGGGCTTCCTGGTTTGTGGCTGGGTGCCTTTAACTGTGACACCAACCTGGCCCTGCGCCACCACTTAGCATGCCATCAATTTTAAGGTGCCCCAGGACTCTGGTTTTCCTGATTCCAGTTGTAGCTGCACGTCTACTACGAAATAAATCATACTGTTTAATGAGACTTATTCTCAGTTGAGTACAGGTGTAGTATTAGGGTAATGAAAAAGCAGAGTACACAGCAGCTGCTCACGTGTGTGGTCTGTTAATGTCAGTGCTGAATTGTGTAAATGAAGCAATAATTTAGCAAGTATATATTCCACAACTAACCCACACACCTGGCTTCTCAAAACATGTAACACTGAAGATGTCACCTAGCCAGGTAGAGAAGTTTAGAGAATCCCCATAACCCGTCCTCCAGGCTTCTCTCCCATTGCTCCCATATCAGTTTATTTATTTATTTATTTATTTTATTGTTTATATTTATATCCCGCCCTTCTCCTTGCGGACTCAGGGCGGCTAACAACCAGATAAAAATACAAAATATCAAAACTACAGATTAAAACATAATTAAAAACAAATATTCATAATTGGTCTAGATAATTTAAAATTATGTTAAAACCCCCACTAAAAATTTTCCCCTAGGCCAGTCCTGCAAGCTGGAATAACCACGTCTTAAGGGCGCGGCGGAAGGAAGGGAGATCAGGGATCACCCTGATCTCTGGGGGTAGTTCATTCCAGAGGGTGGGAGCTCCCACAGAGAAGGCCCTCCCCCTTGGGGTCGCCAGCCGGCACTGTCTGGCCGACGGCACCCTGAGGAGACCCACTCTGTGGGACCGTACAGGCCGATGGGAGGTAATCTGCGGCAGAAGGCGGTCTCGAAGGTATCCAGGTCCGATGCCATGGAGCGCTTTAAAGATGATGGTCAGCACCTGGAAGCGCACCCGGAAGGCCACCGGCAGCCAATGCAGCTCGCGCAGCAGCGGTGTTACATGGGAGCGACGAGTCCCTCCCAACACCGCCCGCGCGGCCGCATTTTGGACTAGCTGGAGCCTCCGGGTGCTCCTCAAGGGGAGCCCCATGTAGAGAGCATTGCAGTAGTCCAGGCGGGAGGTGACAAGGGCATGAGTGACTNAAGACATTTTAAGGCCACTTAAAATCTGCCTGAGATAATCCGAGTTCTGGGACATGAAGCATTTGGCCGTCAAGGAGATTAGCTCACCATGTTTCTTCTGGTCCGGTTTCAGCTATTTAAGGCAGTATTTTTTTTTTTTTGCCCACACTTTTTCCCATCTTAGCTTTTTAAAAACAGACTGTAAAGTAATCTCTGCACCTAAGAATACAAAAAGAACCCTGTTAAAACCATTTGCACTTTAAATGTTTACATTTTCCTGTTTTATTACTTTTTAACGCATTCAGTTAGGTAAAATTAAGACAAAAATACTTTTTTAGAGGAGGCACAGATCATGCTAACCATGGATTCTTCAACTGTGTCTTACCATGAAATCAGATTGGGTTAGATTTTAGCGGCAGTTGGAACCAAAACAAACCACAATATGCGATGCCCATTTCGGAAGCCAAACTTCATAAATTCTGCAAAGGCCTTCAGTGTTGTACAATCATTTGCTTCCCTGATTGCTGGGACTCGGCTGCAAAGAGGCTGGAAAAACTGTTCACTGATTTGGGAGGCCTGTGAAGTTTCATCCGTGTTAAGCCCCTTTGCACCTGGTCCTCGACTTACAACCACAATTTCTATTGCTAAGCGAGACACTTGCTGAAGTGAGTTTTGCCCCATTTTACGACCTTCCTTGCCACAGTTGTTAACCGAATCCGGCTTCCCCATTGACTTTGCTTGTCTGAGGTCGCAAAAGGGGATCACGTGACCCAAGGATGCTACGACCGTCATAAATATGAGCCAGTTGCCAAGAATCCGAATTTTGATCACGTGACCATGAGGATGCTACGATGGTCGTAAGCATGAAAAATGGTCATAAGTCACTTTTTTCAGTGTTGTTGTAACTTTGAACGGTCACTAAATGAACTGTTGTAAGCCGAGGACTGCCTGTATTCAGCTTTGCAAAGAAGTTCACAAAAACGGCTATTCCTGTGACTCAGTTGTGCCTTTGGAGCAAACGAGAGGAACAAGATTTGGAAAGCGGCAGCTGCTTAGAGGTTCTCCTGCAGTCCAACTGGAATTACTCAGGGCAAAATACAGCAGCTTTCCTGGTGCTTGTGATCCCTCCCTCCATGGCTGCTGTAGGACTTGGCCATCCAGTGTTGTGTATTTTTCACAGCTTTTTGGATCGTCTTCCTTCACTGGCGCCACCCCAGCATCAGCCTTCTTTCAGCCCTAGGCAAGGTCCATGTCACCTTCTGTTCCTCTGCTCTGTCTCTGTCCTCCTCCCCCAGCAAATATATTTAGGCATATGGAGGGGGACAGAATGAGGTTCTTTGTTGTTTTCTCTCCTGTCCTTTCCAGCTGTCTCTTCTGAGGTGGGGTGGGGACATTAGTTTAAACCAGGAGTCTCCAAACTGGGCAACTTTGTGGACTTAAAGCTTGGCTGGCTGGGGAATTCTGGGAGTTGAAGTCCACAAAGTTGCCCAGTGGGGAGACCCCTGGTTTAAATTATAAATCAGCTTTATCTTCTCCGCTTTCATAGCTGCAGGCCGTGAGATGATTGAGCCCAGCCGAGAAGGAGTAATTAATCCAAATAATTAACCTGAAGGTTGGGTAGGTGATTGTCAGCTGAATAGCTGGAAGGAAGGAGGTGGTGAGGGGCAGGAAGGGGCTGGGGGAATGGCCTTTCTTTGCAGCCCAGAGCTACGGAGCCAAAGAGGAAATAACAAATTGGTTAAGGAGGAATTATGGGGGAAACAGAAATTAAGATCCAGCCTAGGTGGTGTAACTTGTTCACACCCATATTTGGGGATTTGTCCCTATAGTCAGCATTACCCACTCTGACTGGCAGCATCTTCCAGGGTTTTAACCAAACTAAATGCCAATGCCGGAAACTCAACCTGCCCAACCAGTAAATTAGGGTTTGTTCTCAGGAAAATGCCATGGATAACAAAGGTTCCTCTTAACAAGTTAACGGCACTTTTTAAAAAAAAATTGCCCCATGACACTCACCGAACGGCATTGTTCAGAGCTGAGTCAAACACTGACAAGTACAGAAGAGCGTTACAGAGCGGAGGACTTCCATTGTTCATGAAACACAACCTTCTATTAAGTGTGTGCTGTTCTGTGACACTGCTGTCCCAGCCACAGAACAGTTGGCGGTGACCTCGTCCCCGGCGTATGAACCCCAGGAGGTAAATCGGAGAAGAAGCCCTTTCTTGGCTCCTTCCTGAGAAAGAGTAGAATCAGACCTCTTTCTAAATGTTAATGGAGGGATTTCAAGTTAGAGCTTGTCTTTTGCTCCCGGAGATTAAGCCATGCTGGCATCAGCTTCTGCTCATTGAAGACAACATTTCTTGAAAAGCCGGATGTTTTGCTTGTGTGTGTGTGTGTGTGTGCGCGCGCGCGCACGCTCACGCTCCTTCAAGACAGTTTTGGCTCCTTGGAACTGTCGAGACAAGTCTGCACTGCTCTGGGTAACATGTTTGGAAGTGGTTTGCCTTGCCTTCTTCTTGAGCTGAGAGACAATGACCTAGCTGGCTTCGTGCCTAAGGCAGGACTGGAACTCAGGGCTTCCTGGTTTGTGGCTGGGTGCCTTTAACTGTGACACCAACCTGGCCCTGCGCCACCACTTAGCATGCCATCAATTTTAAGGTGCCCCAGGACTCTGGTTTTCCTGATTCCAGTTGTAGCTGCACGTCTACTACGAAATAAATCATACTGTTTAATGAGACTTATTCTCAGTTGAGTACAGGTGTAGTATTAGGGTAATGAAAAAGCAGAGTACACAGCAGCTGCACACGTGTGTGGTCTGTAAATGTCAGTGCTGAATTGTGTAAATGAAGCAATAATTTAGCAATTATATATTCCACAACTAACCCACACACCTGGCTTCTCAAAACATGTAACACTGAAGATGTCACCTAGCCAGGTAGAGAAGTTTAGAGAATCCCCATAACCCGTCCTCCAGGCTTCTCTCCCATTGCTCCCATATCAGTTAAATGCAAAGCTGAGTAAGGACAGCAGAGTAATAGTTAAAAGGTTCAGCTATTGCCAACTATAGCCCCAACATTTCCCCCAAACCTTGATTAAATTAGCTGCAGTTCTTCAAGTTGCAGTGAAACCTGGGTCTTGAGTGTTGTTGGTCTCCGGCTCTAGTGAGCCCCCGCAAGCATGGCCAGGAGTTAGGACGATGGAGAACGCAGCTCATCCACAACTAGAGGCTCTCTGGAGGGCTCTATGCATTGCTGCTCTGGGGACAGGAGCCAGTTTAGGTAATTGTGGGGCAAGGGGCTGAGGACGCTCATACTGTAGTTGTGTGGTAAAGAAGGTTGCTTTTTGGGCAGGCCGGTCCAGTTCAGGACTCGTCTTTTAGGTGATCTTAACCAAGCTACTTTTAACTCCTCTGAGCTTCTGGAGCAGGGGCGTAATTATCGGCTGTGTTGATAAGACTTGCATACAGTAGCCAAGGGCGAAGGGCTGAAGGTGCCTCACAAGGCTCCCATTTGGCATTCTGCAGGTCACACTGGACGCCTCCTCCGAGCTGTCTTAGGAACCAGCATCCTTTTCCTTCTCGCTCATTTGGTCTTCCAAATATGCCTTTACACTGTGCCCAGCCTGGACCAGCTCCTCGGAAGCAACTGTGAGTATCATGTCGCCTTCCTGTTTTGCAGAATCTCGACTCAGAGAGAAATGATGAGCAGAGCGGAAGACAGTTGTAATAAAAATGAAAAATAATGCAGTGGGAATTCGGTGATTGACAGACTATTGAGCACTCAAGGGGGGAGGGGAGGGGCAGGAGGGGATGCTTAATTCTTCCCAAGTATTGCTTTTCTTCCGATCATTAATTCTTTTCTCTACATTTGTTCTCCCAAATGGCTGTTTCCAGCCGCTTGCCAAAAGAGGAGGGGGTTTTGTTCTCCTGCAGTCCCCAAGCCTGTGTTTAATCCTGTCCAGGGGGAGGGCCAACCAAACTGGCTACAGATTAGCATTGACCTTTGAGAATATAAATATTGACCTGAAGCGGTAAAGCAGAGCTTGGAAAGCTGGATGGCGAGCCCAGGTGTGGCTAGATCGAAAGATCTGGGACCTGGTCCCGTTTGTTCCTCTGGCGATCTCTCCTTACCATGGGATCTGCTGTGGGGAGGGAGCCTCTTTTCTCACTTCACACGCTAGTATTTGACCTCCCCCCCCCAAACCTGGAAATGTTGCTGTCGTTTCCTCCTGACCTTCCCCATCCAGGTGGAAAATTCCGAGCCTTCTGTGATTTCTGCTCTTCAGAAATGGGGCCTCCTTGTCCCTGCTAAACTTCTGTTTGACACATGATTTTTTTAAAGATTCAAAATATTCCCAAAACATAACGTTGGTTTCCCAGAAATGTATGTTATGATTTTCCCTCTTGCTTTCCCTGCAATTTTCCATACATGGAACAAATTCCTTTATCTGCAGGGGATCTATATAAACTGTTCCCTTTGGCAGGGGAGCTTAACCCATAGCTGCACATTACCATGTTTGGAAGTGGGGTGGTGGTTTACTTGGGTCCTTTCACCGCCAGGCAAATGGAGCAGAAGCAAAGGTTTAGCAATCATTAGTGGGCCTTGTTCCCAGAGACTAGTGGGCTGGTGACCGATTCGGTTTAATTTTACTTTAGACCTTCCTAGGCTGCTCCACTTGGTTTCAATGGGTGCAGAATCCCACCAGCCGGAGCCAGAGGTCCCAGAGGGGATGGGAGAAATGCACAGTGGTGACTCCAGAGATCAGCCGGTGGTCCTCGGCCAGAGGCCCTGTGGAAGGAGCTACATCTGACCAAAACAGAGCAATGTTTTAAGATAAAGAGCCAAGCGAGAACATAATCAGAATCTATTGTCAATTGATTAAAAGTTTTTTTAAAAAACAGCTCTGCCAATAGATCTGGAAATATAGTCTTCCCCTCTGATTTTCAAAAGAAACCTCTGAGATAGCTTTCAGTTCACCTAGAACTCCATGGTCCCCTCTGCTATTCAGAAATTCTCAGCTCTGGTTCTGGAAAAGAATAGATGCAGGGAGCTTTAGATCCCCAGAGAAAGGATCTTTTATCTTAAACATTCAGTTTCACCTCCTGACTGTGGAAGCAGCCCAAGGTTGGATCCAATTCATCTTGCCTAAAGATGATAGAAACTGGATCCTGAATGGATTCATTTGCTGCCAATTGAAGGTGCTTGCTCAGAATTGCATTTGAGGTCAGAGCTGGTAGTTGACTTGGTACTACTACTACTACTACTACTACTACTACTACTACTATTATTATTATTATTATTATTGATCATCACACAGTCAGCCAGATGTTCAGACTAGATTTGGCATTTTGTCTACCTATCGAGTCCTTTTCCCAAGGACCTGGGATAGGCAGATGTGGATGTTTGATGTTATTACAGATATCGTCGCAGGATGGAAGCAGTTCCTAGTAAGGCTGCCTTTTGCAATTGACTAATGGCGAATTTGTCAATGCCAATGGTGTTCAAGTGGTGCTCCAGTTGTTTTGGGATTGCACCCAAGGCGCCTATGACTATTGGTACTACCCTTGCTTGCTTTTGCCACAGTCTTTCTATTTCTATTTGTAGGTCTTTGTATTTTGTTATCTTCTCCAGTTCTTTCTTGTCTATTCTGCTGTCTCCAGGCACTGCCACGTCCACTATCCAGACTTTTTTGTCTTATCGACAATTATTAAGTCCGGGGTGTTATATTGCAGGTGCTTGTCTGTTTGAATTCTGAAGTCCCAGAGCAGTTTAACTTTATCATTTTCTATGACTTTCTCTATTTTATGATCCCACCAGTTCTTGCTTACAGGCAAATGATATTTCTTGCAAATCTTCCAATGCACCATTGTTGCTGCTTTGTCATGCCGCTGCTTGTAGTCAGTCTGTGCGATCTTCTTGCAGCAGCTTACCAGGTAGTCCACTGTTTTTTCAGCGTGTTTGGATAGACGGCACTTACTGTCTGTTGCTGTCTTCTCAATTTTGACTTTATATGCATTTGTCCTTAAGGCTTGGTCTTGTGCTGCCAGAATTAGTCCCTCAATCTCTTTCTTCAATTTTCCTGCTCTTAGACATTGCCAGGTCTTATTATTATCTGCTTTCCCAGCTATTTTTTTAATGTACTGGCCATGTAGTGCTTTGTCTTCCCATGCCTCTATTCTGTTCTTCATTTGGTCTTTCTTGTAGGCCAGTTTGGTCTTTCCAGTAGTCAGTAAGCATTCTTGATATACTAATTTCAGTGCATCTTCATCACTGTCCTTCAGATATTCTTCCAAAGCTATTTTTTCTTCTTCAACCATCTGATGTACTTGCAGCATTCCACACCCACCTATTTGCCTTGGTAGATAAAGTCTGTCTATGTCACTGCATGGATGAAGGGCATGATTCATTGCCATTATTTTTCTGGTCTTCCTATCCATTGCTTTTAGTTCTGCTTGAGTCCAGTCCACTATTCTAGCTGTGTATCTAATGACTGGAATTTCCCAGGTGTTGATTGCCTTTATGGTATTTCCTCCATTGAGTTTGGACTTTAAGATCTTCTTCATTCTCTTGATGTATTCACCTCTAATCTTTTTCTTGACTTCAGTGTGCTTGATGTTGTCTGCTTGAAGGATACCCAAATATTTGTAGTAATCTTCCTCATCCAGACTCTTAATGTTATTTTCTTGGGGTATCTTGATTCGTTCAGTTTTCACTATTTTTCCTTGTTTGATAGTAAGTGTGGCACATTTGTCCAAGCCAAACTCCATTGCAATATCTTGGCTATATATACAGACAGTCTTGAGCAGCGATTCTATTTCAGATGATGTTTTTCCATACAGCTTCAGATCATCCATGTAAAGGAGGTGGGATAGTCTGGCAGATGTTTTTGATGTTTGATAGCCATGCCCTGACTTATTCAGTATTGTTGACAGAGGAAACAGTGCAATAACAAATAGTAATGGTGATAATGAATCTCCTTGAAATATTCCTCTCTTGATGTTAACCTCTCCCAGTCTCTTATCATTGATCTGCAACTGTGTCTTCCATTGTGCCATCGATCTTTGCACAAATTTTCTGATGTTTCTACTGACTCCTGTTATTTCTAGGCACTTGATTATCCAGTCATGTGGCAGAGAGTCAAATGCCTTTTTGTAGTCAATCCATGCCACATTCAGGTTGGACTTCCTTTTCTTGCAATTTTCCAAGATCATTTTGTCTATTAGGAGTTGATCTTTTGTTCCTCTGTTATTGGGGCGGTTTCCTTTCTGCTCTGGTGCAAAGAGATTGTTTTCAACTAGATGCTATTGTACTGCATCAGCTACCACACCAGTTAGCAATTTCAAAGTTGTTGGTAAGCAGGTAATTGGCCTGTAGTTGCCTGATGTTGCCCCTTTTGCTAGATTTTTCATTATTAGGTTTGTTTTCCCAGTTGTTAGCCACTTTTCAATTTCTCCTCCTTGTAGTATATTGTTGAACTGCTTGGCAATGAGTGGGTATACAACAATTAGATGTTTCAATCAAAACCCATGCAGTTCATCTTCACCTGGTACTGACCAATTTTTGATCTTCCTTGCTCTTTTTTCTATCATTTTTGTTGTTATTACTAGTTCTTTCATTTCACCTTCTGTTTTATTTGCATCCACCTCTTTTAACCAAGCCGCATCGTTGTATTTTTTTGGGTTATCCCATACCTGCTTCCAGAACTGCACTGTTTCTTCCTTGTCAGGTACTGACTGATTCATTGCACAAAGAGGTAACTACCTAACCATCTTTGTAAAGACTAACCTAACTTTAACCTCCAAGACGGATATTAAACGTTAAGCTCGAAGCATAGATGACTAAAAGGACCGATATCGACAATAAACGACGAAATAATAAAGGTCACGAAGGATGATCTTCCTTGTTTCTAAGTGGTATTTCTTGATTAGGTATTCTTTGGTCTTCTTGTTCTTCAGCTTCTTTTCTTTCATCTGTTCTAGCTTGCTTGCATGGGATCTTAATTTGCTGATCTTATATTCTAGCCTAACCTTCCATTTTTGTGGTGCATTGTTTGTTTGTTTTTCTTCTTTGTTGATTTTGCACCCCAGCTGTGCACCTGCAGCTGTGCTGTACATTAGTTGGTTTGTTTCTTGCAGTGAATTGGTGCTTATACTTGATATTGCAGTATTTGCATCTTTTAATGCTTGTGCTAGCTGTTTCTTTGGAACAAGCTTCAATGCAGGCAGCCTTATTCTGTTATTTTTGTGCTGTTCTAGATGCTCAGTTATTCTTTGTTTCAATTCTTTTATTTCTTTAGTTAGAGGGCTTTGTTCTTCCTGAGGAAGAGGTACCTGGTTTCCAAATGAGAACAGTTGTATATCTCTGCTGGATTCCTTCACTGCCAACTCCAATGGTTTGCCTCTCCATTCTGAATTACTTCGGGCAAGGCTTTGATTTCTTTGCCCTGGGTGAACCTTTGCAGTTCATCCAATTCTGTTTCTGTGAATACTTTATTTCGTATTATAAATCGGCGTTGATCTGCTAGTCCCTGTTCTGTTATTTCTGATTCTGGATGTTGTTCTTTCCAGAACTAGTGCATTCGTTTTAGATATCCTCTTCTTGTTGGACTTGATCTGTAATAACAGATCATTATTTCTTTGTTTATTTTATTATTTGTTTATATTGTTGTTGTTGTTGTTTTGTTGTTGTTTTGTTGTTGTTGTTGTTATTATTATTATTATTATTATTATTATTATTATTATTATTATTATTCTCCTTGTCTTCCCAGGCAGCACATGGGAAACTCTGGCTCAGCATATTGGGGTCACCAGGTAAGGACAAAGCGAAAAGGGTGGGCAGAGCTGCTTTTTCAAAGATGTCCACCATGTTGTCAGAGAGGGGATTCTGGAGCTCCCCATTATGCTCACCCTCATGATTATCACCCTCTTGGGCAGCTGGGGGGCAGGATTTGCCCTCCGGTTCATTACTTGCTTTGGGGCTGTCCCACCCATAGGCTGGCTCAACTGCTGCAGATGACCTTGTTTGAAGACACTGTGATCTCTTTCTCTCTCTCTCTCTCTCTCTCTCTCTCTCTCTCTCCCTCTCTAGGCTGGACCTAAAGGACATCCCCAATTCGGTGCGCTTAGTAGCCCCCGACCTGGGCATCCTGCTGGCCTCTGCCATCTGCCTTGGCATTTGCAGCCGCTTGCGGCCAGCAAGGGAGGTCATCACCTGGAGCCAGCAGTCTGAATCTCCCCTCCCCCCAGAACAGGTGAGCTTGGTGTGGATCTGCTGGCCTTCAATTCTCCAAGCTTCCTCTCTTCTTTGCAACTTTTCCCAGCCTGGGCTCATCCCAATGGATTGGATTACAACTCTCATCATCCTCAGCCCCCCCCCCCACGTATTGGCTGGGAGTAGGACCAGCTGTCCCGTTGCCCCATCTCCATAGGTGAGCCCAGCCAAAGGAAGGTGCACCCTGGATTTTTTTATGGCCTCTCCCTGTGCTCTGGGGGCATTTGCCCTTCTGACTTTCAGCTCTGCCCAAGTGGAACTGGGGCAATCTTAGAATCGATGCTTAAAATTTCTACGTTCTTCTCTTCTTTCCCCAAATCATCTCCGCTGCCTGTAAAACTGCTTGCAGTGAAACAGGATCTACAGTGCATCTCCTGCTATGCAGGGAAGGAAAATGTGTGCCTCCATTCCACCCTTCCGTGTTTGCAGGATTCCTCCACATGCGTCTCCTATTTCCCCTCCCTGTTTGGGGGGGAGTTACCAGCCATAATAGCTGGATTCCCCCAGAAAGGGGGGCGGGTTTCTCTGCTCAGGACATGTTTGGACAGTGGGCTGGCCTTGGAGCCAGGGGTCAAGGAGGCAGAGCCACATAACTTTGCAGGTCAGGATCCTCCACCCTGGAAAAATCGCAGTGGGCTTGGGAACCTGAGCCAGGCAGCCAAGCCAAACAGGCCGCTCTGTGTGGAACGAACTTGGCAAAGCACTTGTGGGAGATAAACAGGGCCAGGTGCTGGTCGGGCGAGGGAGGGGCCTTGTCCATCAGAGAGCACCAGCTGGACATCTCTCTTCCCCCCCCCTTTGTACTCTCAAACCATCCAGATTGGTAACAATAGCTTAAACTGGCCATGCCTTGATTTATAAACTGGGAGGCGGCTCAGTTTTGGATTTTCTACGGTGGCGTTATTCCATTTTTAAAATTGTGCCTCCAGTAGTGAAACTTTAGAGAAAGAAGGGTGCCCACATTGAAGGGAAGATGAGGGCACTTCCATTCTGCAGCTCAGGTTGCCACACTTGCCCCCAGATGGAGACACACACCCCCCCCCCCGTCGAATCAGTATTGAGCATTTCCTCCCCAGCCCCTTGAATTTCTCAGAGACCTGATCGGCTTTCCCAGAATGTTGCCGGGTTGCATTAAGCTGCTCCCCCACGAGGGGCAACTTGTTTTCTCCCTGTGGCAACGGCTCCCAGACCTCCATCGCAAAAGGGCGTTTGAGTCTCTCGTAGATGTGGAGTGACCTCTTGTGGCTTTTCCCTCTCCTTCAGGAAGAGGTGGCCATCGATGAGGGCCAGTCAGAGTCCCCCGGAGGGACTGACGCTCCGGCCCCAGACTCGCCAAGACGGCGGGCACAGTTGGCTGCTCGGCTCCGGGTAAAGGCTCACGGGCTCTTGATGGCGGTTGGAAAGATCTTGGCTGTTGTGTTAATTGCACTGGCAGGTAGGTGTGGAGGATTCTGTGGAGAGGGGATGACCCAGTTGTGCATTTCAGAAGAAGCTCCTACTCTGAGTAGCTGCACCTACTTGGAACCTTTTAGGCTTAAGTGTTAAGCTAGAAGTGGAGAGGAAGTTCTGTCCAATGCAACACATAGAAGAATATTGCCCAGTCATATTGAAGAACCCAACCTGGGTCTCTTACCTTGTTAATTAGAAGCTTCTCTTTTACGACTGTTTTAATTAGCCCCAGCAACAAAGACAGAATTCATTGCTAGCCCTACCCACCCCAATTCAATAGGAAGCAACCCTCCAGAACACATATACGGGAAACTTCCTTAATAGATCCCTTTCCTTGGTTTCCTCTACCTTCGAGAGCCGGTGGGGTTTTGGAATCTCTTGATGGTACCGTTACCCCAGCTACAAAGAACGGAATTTTCTTTTCCAAGGTCAGGAGTACGAGAGAAGTACGCCAGGTAATACGGTTCGTCGGAGATTTAGAGTCAGTCGGACGAAGAAGAAGAGAGAGAAGGTCCCATCACCTTGCCCTCGGCCTTCTCCAGTGTCTACTACCTGCTGTTTGTGGGCCTCATGACCTGGTGGGCCTGCCACTTCTCCATCAGCCACCTGGCCTTCAACGCTTTGTGCATCATGGTGGATGTCTTTGCTGGGGGCCACCTCATTTGCCTGTATGGCTACCAGACCCCCTTCATGCAGAAAATCCTTCCACCCACCGGCCTCTGGGCACGGTAAGTGGGGTGTCCTTTTCATTGCTCTGGAAGGATGCAGCATTTGGTGGCCTCACCCTGGAGGTAGACGCACCATCCCCAGAATTTAGTTCCTGGAAGATTTCCCTTCTGGTGGAGTGGCACTGTGGAGCAGCAAGAGTCAGCCTGCATGTCCATCCTCTTAATCTTTAAACATCCCTCTTAAAAGGGGGGTGAGGAGAGGGACTCTCCTCTTTATTGGTGTAGATGTTGATCTTCTGGATCTGCCGGGTGGCAAGTGGGGGATCTGAAGCGGTTCAGTCTTTCCCCAAAGAGTAGAAGGTCCTCCCATGGTCACATGCCAGGCAAAAGCTGGATTGGGATGTCCATCAGTTGTGAAGTTCCCTCCTGATCTTGATTCCACCTTTGACAGAAGAGGTGGTCTGGAAAAAACCAGGGCCCCCCCAGTTTTATTTCTCCCCCCAAGTCCCCTGAGTGGCCAAGAGAGCCTCCTTTCCTGACTTTGGGGGTTTGGCAGGGTCCTGCTGTTGATGCATTGGGGTCCTGTGAGCAGCCTGACTCCAGGCACCTCCCAGGTAAATAGACAAGAGGCACCTTTCCCTTTGAAGAGCAGCTCAGGATCAAATCTGCTGTGGACCTCCTGAACAGCTGCAGGTGTTTGCTACCCTTTGGGTTGAACATCCAAGTTTCCCATGTGAGGGTCTCTCAGAGCGGGAGGGGGCTTCCCTTCTTCTCCGCTGCAGTCTTAGTGGGAGCGTCTGAGGTTCTCCCAGCCTACCAGATGGAGACAGCCAAGAAGTTCGGTATGCCAGAACCCTCTTGAGGAACACAGAAGAGCGCGTGGCTTGAAAGGGAAAATGTGCTGATATGAGGCTCTGAACATTCACTTTCTTTGCATCCTGAAGACCCCGAGGTTTGGGTCCAGCCCCCCCCCCGAGGACTAAAGAGTAGTTGGAGAGCGACCAGAGGACTCTCAGTAATTGTATCTGCAGCCGGTCTGAATGCTGCTTTTCTCAATCCCTCCTGCAGACTCTTTGGGCTGAAGGCCATTATCCTCCCCGGAGGCTGTACCCAGCCCAACAAGCTGCTGCTGGACCTCAACCACCCCTGGCCCGTCTATGCCAATCCAGGCATCCTCCTGCTGCTCTCTTATGTTTTGGCTACCTTGGTGAAGCTGCGAAGGTTGCGCTCCTCTAAACAGGTGAGCCCTGAGTATCTCGGTGTGACGTTCGTCATCTCAGTAATTTGGTTACAGGAGGAGCGTCAGCACACCGGAAATAATCAGTCAGGTGACCTTCCTCCTCTCGCTCTTCCCTTTTAAACCACTGAAAACAGGGGGATTCCGAGTCTTCAGCCTCAGAGCTTCTGGAGCTGGAAAACCGGTCAAAGGACAAAGACCACCTGCCTGAAGATGCCAAGGTGAGGGGAGGGGGAGGGTTTTGCTCCAGTCCCCTTAGTCGGACAAGAGGCAGGTCAGGGAGCAGAGAGGACAGGCTGAGGCTACGGGGTGGGACTCCCTTTAGCACCAGCAAGGAAGCAGCTGGCACGAAGAGCAGGCTGGGTCCCTGGGAGCAGCAGAACACGATGGGGAGGACTGTACCGTCTTAGGCCGAAGGTCCAGATTGTGGCATAGCGTCATTCAAAAGGGAATCCAGCCAGAGGGGAGTGAACAGGGCTTGAACAGGGCTCCTTCCGGATGCATCTCTGATGCTTCCAGGCCTTTTGGAATGTATCTGAGTTTGGGCTGCTTTGGGTTTTCTCTGAGCCCTGCTAATTCACGTCGTGCAATGTTTGCAGCCGATGCTGGTCCAGGATCCTGAGGCTTCTGGGGCCGAGGACCTCACCGTGCATGAAGCCGAGGGAACCAGCCACGCAGGTGAAGCTTTGTATTACTGGGACAAGGAGGCTGCAGCAAGACTCCCCTGCAGTTGCTCTCCCCGCTGCCCTTAAATTGGGACGTTTAAGGTGGGTGGTCTGGACCATGCTCTAAACGAATCCCTCCTCTGCAGCCCTCCGGAAACAGAAGCCTCCCCAGGAGAAGCTGCAGCTGCTTCATTCCTTGGGCCACCTCGTCATGAAGCAGAGCTACGTTTGCGCCCTCATCGCCATGATGGTGAGCGAGTGGGGAGTCTGCCGTGGAGGGATGGCTCTTAAAATGCAACTAACTAAAGAAAAGCCCTGGCAGCAAATATTTCATCTTTTTGAAGGCGGGGGCACCCCGTCCCCGATCCCATTGCTCTGAAGTTGGCCAGCGCTGGCCACTCACAAAACACATCATTCTGGCCTAGTATCGTAGCTGGGTTCCTTGTGAGGTCCAGAAGCAGATCTAACGTGAACTATGACCATCCTTTTGCTGTAGGATAATTTAACACAATACGATAACATAATGAGTTGTAGCAACCATCCTAGACTCTCTTAGACTCATTGAGAAGCATATCATTCAATCTGAGAAGCAGAAGACTTTATACAATCTGAAACGGTTTAGGGTCTCCTGCTCAAGTAGGGGGTCAGACTAGAAGACCTCCAAGGTCCCTTCCAGCTCTATTCTGATTGATTGATTGATTGATTGATTGATTGATTGATTGATTGATTGATCGAAGCCTTTAGAATTGTACGGGATTACCAAAATAATGTAAATCTATAGAAATCTATAATTATTTTCTATGTTTCCTTTTTGTATTTTATCTTCCCTCTTTTATAGTTTTTTCCTTTTTTTCCAAATCCTTTAATCTTTTTGTGTTTTTGATCATCCATAAAGTTGTGTATATAAAAAGAGAAGCACTTCCCAGCCTGCTCACTCTGGGGTTGACTGTTCTTTCCAGGTGTGGAGCATCACCTACCACAGCTGGCTGACCTTTGTGCTGCTGCTCTGGGCGTGTCTCATCTGGATCGTGCGCAGCAGGCACCACTTTGCCATGCTCTGCTCGCCCTTCATCCTTCTCTACGGCATCGCTCTCTGCAGCCTGCAGTATGTGTGGGGGATGGATCTGAAGCCCGAGCTGCCCACCAAGGTCGGCTTCATGCCCCTGGAGCAGCTGGGGCTGGTGCACCCTCCGTATCCTTGCCTGGACCTGGGGGCTAAGGTAGGGTCAACCCCGGAGCCCGGTTTGACCTGTGTGGATACCTGCATTGGTTTAGATTCTTCTCTTACTGTCATATTGGTTTTTCTTCCTGCTCTCTTTCTCAGCTGATGCTTTGCTAGGCGGTGGGGCTCCAAAGGAGGTCTGTCAGCCCTCCGGGGCCTCTTGCACAGCTCAGCACAGAACTGTGATGTTCGTCATGTTTCTCAACCTCGGCAACTTTTAAGCCGTTAACTTTCATCAACTGCTAGAATTCCCCAGCCAGCCTGCTTTAAGATATGGGGACCCCAATGCTCAGAATTCCCCAGCCCGAAAGTTGCTGGTGTGCATGACTGAAAATGACACCCAGTTTCATGACAAAATACAAGAATGAAGGACGCTGCCTTTCCGTATATGCACTTCCTTTTTAAAAAAAATTAATTTTTATTGGGAAATTTTTTTACAGAGTAAAGGCAGTACAATTTTTAAAAAGTATGAAAAGCAAATTTAATATTGTATTATTTTTCAATCCAGGCTGGCAAATAATTTTGATTTCATGCGCCTTTAAGAGGGACGTGGGGCGGGGCGGGTCTCCCAGGCGTCCTCGGACTGCACTTTGAGAAACACTTCCGGAGGGAAGATGCAGCTCTTTCAAGTCTGCTGTTTAAGTTTTAACTTACAGACCATCCTTGCCTACTGAGACCAGACCCACTTCTTTTTGTCCAGGGCTTGACTGAGATGCTCTGACCTCTGTTTCTCCATGCCTTCTTCCCCACAGCTCCTTTATACCTTGACCTTTTGGCTTCTGGTGCGACAATTTGTGAAGGAGAAGCTGCTGAAAAAGAAGCCCCCTTCGGCCCCCCTGCTGGAAGTGACGGTTATTGAGGCAGGTGAGTACCGAGGCTCTGAAGACACGGGGTGAGAAGCAGATCCAGTAAAGAATAATACGTATTTAATTTTTAAAAATCTGACTTTAGTGGGGCTTAAAGCCCTTCCCCATCCATTTTACCTGCTAAATGGTTATCCAGCTGCATTTTTGCACTTGTGGGAGTTTTACTGGTGACCTCTTGCCAACCCAACTGTTGGACTTGCAATGAATTCTGTCCAGATGATCTGCAAACCTTGTCTTAACTTGCGCTGGAGAGCAGGATTGGTCTTCAGGACTATGCCAACCTACCTTTAGGAGGTGTACAAGCCTTTGTTTGCTCACCCAACATTTCTGGAATAAGCTGCGATGGGCTGGGTTCCCAAAACTCACTAAGCCTAAACTCAGTGCATCACTTTCTAGCTGGCCTGATAGGCCAACTGGGCTACAGCACTTCTAATTTGAATGTTCTGCCCTGGGGTCCAGGTCATTCCGAGCCCCATTTTTCTGTTCCCCTCTTCTTTGCAGAACCAGACCCCAAGCATGATGTCCTGAAAATCCTGGGCAGCTACGTGAAGGACTTCTACGCCAAATTCTGGATCTTAGTCTGTGCAGGGATGTTCATTGTGGTCAGCTTTGCTGGACGGCTGGTGGTCTACAAAATTGTCTACATGTTCCTCTTCCTCCTCTTCCTCACCCTCTTCCAGGTGATTAGTAGACCTTAGAGCAGAGAAATGTCAGGATTTTTAGGGATTAAAGGACTGAAAAAGACAAGGGTGCAAAGAAGGGGAAGAAGGCAGGGAAAACCATCTCCCTTTTGCCTCACCCTGATGAACCACAGATTTGTTCCTAGAGTTCCCAGTCATTGTGGCTTTCAAGCCAGACTGGTCCATCTAACAGTAGCCCTCTGGGAATTGGGGAAGAGAAGCGATTTCCCCAAGCGCCTCCATCTTATCTTTGAAACAGAAGGACTGGACCGTGAACAAGGTCTATCCATCAGATGGGGCAGCAATCTTGGTAGCTGTTCTAAGATACTTCTTGGGGTCTCTTGAACCAATACAACAGATTGGAGGGGATGAATTATACCACAGCTTGAAGATGACTAGGCGCTTTCCTCTGCACCCAACTTCTTCTGCAGGTTTACTACGGTCTCTGGCGGAAACTCTTGAAGGCCTTCTGGTGGTTTGTGGTTGCTTACACCATGCTGGTTCTTATAGCTGTTTACACCTACCAGTTTGAGGACTTCCCCATGTACTGGAGGAATTTCACCCACTTGACCGATGAACAGTGAGTGGAGTCACAGCTTTGTAGCCCCAAACCCCATGGATCTGTGGATGAAGACTCCTTACCTGGTCTAAGTCTGGGGATAGATTGGGGTAGATCTCTTGTTGATTTCAAATAGATCCAATCACTCTCCTCTGCTCAGGTGGGCCATTGGGACACTTGATTCAACTTAAGAGATTTGAGTGAATTGAATGCTTCTGAACTGATTTGTCAGTTCAGAAGGCAACTGCACATAGGTCAGGTCCTGTCTGGTCAAAATCAGCTGAGTTTGACCTAAAGACTCAGAAGATCCTTCCTTCCTCTTTATCCAGACTGGGTGACCTTGGCTTGGAGCAGTTCAGCGTCTCAGAGCTCTTCTCCAGCATCTTCATCCCAGGCTTCTTCCTACTGGCCTGTATCCTTCAGCTCCACTACTTCCACCGTCCATTTATGCGCGTCACCGATCTGGAGTGCGTCATCTCACCCGGGTATGTCCATTGCTTTCAAGTGGGTAAGTCCCGGCTCCCAGAGCCAGCTTTTAATTAATTTGCTGGTTGGAGGAGAAGGAAGCCTCGGCCTCTGCCCAAATCCTGTCTTTCCAATCCCAGGGAGGCTTCAGCTCTTAAGTCCTCTTGGCGTTCTTCTTGATTTTAGGAAGGGAGAGCTTAGTGGGAGCCAGGAGCTGCTTCAGGCTGAAGGTGGCAAAGCAGAAGACCACGAGCCAGATGATGACGTTGATGCCTCTTCTGAAGGTAAGGGGAGAAAGCTGAAGAAGAAGGTGTCAAGGGAAAGCAAAGGTCCATCTCTGCAAAAGGCACACCACCCAGGAAGAGAATTAAGCTTGTTGACTGTCAGCTGGTTTTCCTTCTAGTGGAGAGTTGTTTTATTCCAAGCATCCTTTCTCTTTCCTTGGAGAGGTTGGGGAGGACAAAGCCTTCTAAAGAACCAGACTTGGTGAAGTCTGAATATTCCCAGCTCTGCCTCCTCCTCCTCCTCCTCCTTGCTCTCCCACAGAGGGTGTGCCCAGCAAGTGGGGCCTGGTGCTGGAGCGTCTCTCGGTGTTGGGGAAGAGCTTCTCAGATGTTCTCGGCTGCATCCAGGTCTTTGTCCTTCGCCTGCTGGAGCTGCACATTTTGAAGCTTTTGGCTCTGTACATCATGTGGGTTGCTTTGCAGGAGGTGAGTCCTGGAAGAAGGACTGAGCCCGGGAGGGGAGCTGCTGAAGGCCAAGGGGAGGGCTTGATTTAGGCAAGGAGCCACCTGGGGATCAAACCACCTGACCTCCAAAGTGCCAGCTCAGGAAGCCACAGATACAGGAGATGCAGGCTGCAAAATTTAATGCCTCTGGTATTTTGTTTTCCCACGAAATCTCCAAAATATCTTCACACAAAGCATGTTTCAGTCATTGAGCTGAGAGTAGCAAGGAAAGACGAAGATCTGCTTTGGCCCAGGGAGGTTGCAATTAGTTATGGGCCAAGGTGTGGGCCATGCAGAGCCCCAAATCACCTTTGAGGCTGCAGGAGTCTTACCTGGACACATCCTTCAGCACCAGGATAACCTTCTCATCCCTTTTCTGCCCCTTGAGGAGCTTTCTTTTTGAAAAACTAAATGAAGGTTGGTCAACTCCTCAGAACGCTGCTTGCCAGCCTCCCCTGCACAACCCAGAGTTCCAACTGCTGTTCCTCCTCTCTTCCTCTCCTCTTCCAGGTGTCGGTGATGAACTTGCTGCTGGTGGTGTTGTGGGCCTTTGCGGTGCCCTACAGCCGCTTCTGCCACATGGCCTCCTGCCTCTCCACCATTTGGGCCTGCATCATCATCGTCTGCAAGATGCTGTACCAGTTGAAGATTGTCAACCCACAAGACTATGCCAGTAACTGCAGCTTGGTAAATGTGCCCCGACCTTAGACCCAGAAATGGGAGGAGAGGGAAGTGCCTTCGAACTTGGGCTGGGTGTGTGGGAATCAGTTCCAGAAAGAGGTATGGAAGGGGAAAAAATAGTGGTCACCAGGGAAATGATGGCTGATGATCAGATTGAGAGTTTATACTCTATCCTAACCTCCCAGGAAGAATAGTGAATTCTGTTGATGGCATAACATCTTCTGATTATAGTATTATAGTATAATTCCTTTTTTCCTTCTAGCCTCTGCTCAATAACACCAACCTCCAACCAGAGGAGATCAGCAATTCCACCCTCTACCAAGGTCCTGTTGACCCGGCCAATTGGTTTGGCATTCGCAAGGGGTATCCCAACCTGGGCTACATCCAGGTGCGTAGCAGCTGTTCCCGCCTAGCAGGTCCCTCCAGCCTGAAGGAAGTTGTAGTCCCATCATATCTGGAAAGGAACCTATTTGATACTAAGGCAAGGTGGTTTCTGTTTCCTGTTCTTGTTGCTTTGGCTCATCTGCTCCTTCTTCTTCCTCTTTAGAACCATCTGCAAGTTCTGGTCCTGCTGGTTTTTGAAGCGGTGGTGTATCGATGCCAGGAATACTATCGCAAGAAACACCAGCTGGTGCCTCCGCTCACCCAGACCATCTTTGAAGATGCGACACGCCAGAACCTAGATCAAGGCTTGCTGAACTGCATCAAGTACTTCATCAACTACTTCTTCTACAAGTTTGGTCTTGAGGTAAGCTGGGCCCTGCTGGCTGGACCGAAGAGACGATGCTACCTAAGTTGTATACAATGAAGAAGTAAAGGTTGGCCAGTCAGATAAGACGCCAGGAGTGTCTGGAACAAAAATATCAAGGCATATGAAAAAGGGGTGGAGCTTTTGCAGTAATGAATAAGAGAAAGAGGCGTGGCATTTGGCCAAGAGAATAGAAGCTTCTTAAGTCTTGGAACAATCCTTAATGACAGAGCAGAGATTTCTCGTTCATCTCCCAAGACGTCACCAGACCAAAGTTCTCTTCCTTGACTTCGTTCCCTTCTCTTTCCCCAGATTTGCTTTCTAGTGACAGTGAACGTGATTGGCCAGCGCATGAACTTCATGGTGATCTTCCATGGATGCTGGTTGGTTGTCATCCTGACACGGAGGCGGCGTCAAGCCATTGCCAAGCTCTGGCCGAAGTACTGCCTCTTCCTGGCTCTCTTCTTCATCTTCCAGTATCTTCTCTGTGTTGGGATTCCTCCAGTTCTCTGCAATGGTGAGATTCCAACCTAGGGAACCAGCCAACGGTTGCTGCAGTCTTCTTTTCCAAATAGGACAAGTGTTTGGCATCCTTTCTGCTTCTCCTCCATTCCCATAAGGCCATTGATGGAGGTCATTGCAAGTTGCTTCCATAAAATGCTCAGAAAACCAAGTACAACCCAAAGAAGGCAACCAACCATGGTTGTTATACCAAGTGCCATTCTTATCCTCGCATCACAAGGGCATCGTTGAACCAGAAAAAAAGTCATCCCAAACATTCAGTGGGCAGTTCCCCACTGAGAAAGGCTTGCAATATCTGGGGAATTTTAGGCTTGGAAAGAGCTGACTTAAGGACACTAGATATTTACCAAATTCTGCATAATGGGGAGGTGTGGACACAGGAAGAATTTTCTCCTCCTTGAACTGGCAGATCATCACAAAACATAGGAAGTGAGAGACACACAGGGGAAGCTGCTCTTGGTTAAACTATTGACTCCCGTGCCAAGATGTGGTGACGGTGATCAATTAGGCTTTAAATGGGAATTGTACAACTCCCTGGGGGGGGGAGATCATTGCTGTCTGCTGCTCAAAGATACACTGTCAGCAGAGTGCTTGTCTCTTCCCATCATCTTCCTTCTAAAACAAAAAGCTTTGAAGAGGGGAGATCCTGAAATGAGAAAGGAAGGGCTGTTGTGGTCCGGAGCCAGGTGCTTTTCCCTAGGTGCCATGTTTGTGCTTTTTACCTGTCCAGATTACCCGTGGAGGTGGAGCCCCACCCTTCCCATTACCTCCGTTCTCATCAAATGGATGTACTTCCCCGACTTCTTCATGAAACCCAATTCAGTCAATCTCATGAGTGAGTACCTAGAAACAGCCCTCCTGCTGTTAGAAAACCTGGTGGAAGAGAGTTGTTTCTTCATTTCATTCATTTTATTTATTTATTAAAGAAATTTATATGGCCTTCCAAGAATTAACTCACAGGAATAAAGCCCCAGACACAAAACCCGATACTGCCCCCCACCCTTTTTGCTGTCCTTATTATGTAGTAATTAGTGGCAAAACAAGACATGGAAGCAAAGAAAGACTGACCCCATTTGCAAGTGAATTCAGAAAGGGTGTAATATTTTGCTACTTGATTGGGATAATTAAAATCTTCCTCAGTGATCCACTGAGCCCCAGCCTTAATTCAGCCATGAGCCAAATTCAGCACCAGGGACAGCTCCTGAGAAGCGGGTTGAAGCCATTGTCAATTTTGCCCCTTAGAGCAGAGGTCCCCAACCTTTGGGGCACCAGGGACCGGTTACCTGGAGAGACGTTTTTCCACGGACCGGAAAGGGCGTGGTTTTGTGTGCTCCCTGCATCTCGCGGATGAGGCTTTGCTTGTTTGTGCGGACCGGTTACTGGACTGAGGGTTGGGGACCCCTGCCTTAGAGTGACAGTTTGGACACTTTTCCTTCAGGATGTAGTCCAGTTCTTAAATATAGTCTGTGATTCTCTCTCTCTCTCTCTCTCTCTCTCTCTCTCTCACACACACACACACACACACACACACACACACACACCAAGCTGTGGTATGCAGGTTGTATGAATTGCAGAGAGAAGCCTTGATGGGCCACACCCCTTGGGATGGGAGGTAACTTGCTAGTGGGCTCTTCCCCCTCTCCAAAAGGGGAGGCATTTCTGCAACCCAAGGCCACATCTACTTTCCCGTGTCTGTTGGTGTGATGGGCATTAAAAAAAATCGTCACTTCCCACAGGTGACTTCCTGTTGCTGCTCTGTGCATCTCAGCAGTGGAAGGTTTTTGTCAACGAACAGACGGAGGAATGGGTGCAATTGGCTGGGGACAACCGGGAGCAGCTGGAGCCCCTGCAGGGGCAGCCAAACCCTGTGCCCAATTTTGTCAACTGCAGGTGAGAGCAGAATAGTCCCCCCCCAGGTGGCTCTTCCTGGCTAACTTCATGCTAACTAGGATGATTTATCCTATTTAAGAATAAGGAAGGGTGTTTGAACCAGCACTGCATTTAGATCCCTTACAGCTGGGATTAAATCAATTGAGATCCATCAAACATCAATGACTTTCGCTGGATTCTTGATTAGATTCCGCTGGACTCTTCTTATATTCTCAATTTTTTCTTTCCCACTTGCCAGGTCCTACCTAGACATGGTCAAGGTGTGTGTGTTCCGCTACCTCTTCTGGTTTGTCTTGGTCATTGTCTTCATCGCTGGGGCCAATCGCATCAGCATCTTTGGCCTGGGCTACCTGATGGCCTGCTTCTACCTGCTGCTCTTTGGCACCGCCATGTTGCGCTGGTCCCTGCGCGCCCGCCTGATCCTGTGGGACTGCCTGATTCTCTACAACGTGACAGTGATCATTGCCAAGAATATGCTCTCGGTAAGGCTGAAGTTCCCTACAAACCCTTCCGTCCATCAGGCTAAAGGATGTTGAGTCCAGGCCATCCGTTTCAAAATGGTGGATCCAGTTTTTTGTGGGTACAAAATGTGAATCTTTGGTCTGAATGCAGACAGCCACTTTTGGGTGGGGTGTGACTCCCTTTCCATTTCTGCCAGCTCCTCTCCTGCGTCTTCGTCCAGCAAATGCAGAACAACTTCTGTTGGGTCATTCAGCTCTTCAGCCTGGCCTGCACCGTCAAGGGTTACTATGACCGTGAGTATCTGCTGTTGATATCCAAGCAACTAAGAGGGGACATAAGAGCTTCCTTTCCCCAGTTCTGGGGGTAGACCTGGAGTCTGGGTATGGAAAGAGTGGGAACAGGAGGGTTGCGTAGCTATGCTGTTTCTCCACTGAGGATTTGTGACATCTTCATAGCATCACCCAACCGTCCCTGAAGTGTCAGAAGTCCTGTCCATGTTACTGTTGCTTTGGTCCCGTGATGATTGGGGGACTCCAGAAGTTGCTTGGGTGGAAAAGACTTTGGAGAAAGGCCAAAGACACACCTTGCTTTGGGCATGTTGGATGAGGTTCAACCAACCAGATTTAGCCAAACAAGATTTGGTTTACTTTGGCCCCACATTATGTAGATAACCTTTTTGGCATGTTTACCCAAGGTTATCATTTAATGCGTTGCATAAACAACACCTGAAACCTGACCGAACAGCTTCTGTTATTTCTAGTCAGTTTGAGTGGACTTGTGTATTCAATCATAAAAAAACAGATTTGAATGAAAAGATACATTTTGCACCTGGTGACACCTGTGACTTGCTGAGCTTGGCCGAGGCGTCCATTTGAATGGAACAGGGAGAACCTCCTCATGTGGGAGACCCCAGAGTCCCCACTGATGGAGAGCAGCTGGGGGACCGTCACGTGTGGGCTCCGAGGTGTGGGGAGGAGTTCAGGGTCCACATCTGAGCCCCTCCCTGCCCCCTTCTTTGCCAGCCAAGGATGTGGACAAGAGCCAGGACTGTGCGCTGCCTGTGGAGGAAGCCGGCATCATCTGGGACAGCATCTGCTTTGTCTTCCTGCTTCTCCAGCGCAGGGTCTTCCTCAGCTACTACTTTCTGCATGCCTGGGCCGACCTCAAGGCCTCGGCCCTGCAGGCCTCCAGGTGAGCGGGGGAAGGGCTGAGATGCGGAGCTTTGCACATCCGGGGATGCAGACTGTGCAGTCCACTTTCCAGCAAAAAGATGTACATAACGAACAATGGGTTTGCTTGACAACCACAGTGTTCACTCAATGACCGCCACAAGAAAGATTGTAAAATTGGGAGTGGTCATCTGTTCACCCACTTAACGACTGTCATGACTCACAACCATAATTGCTAGCTCGATTACGGCCATAAGTCAAGGACTACCTATATTGTAATCGTACACAGATTCGAGCGAACATGTCTTGGTGTCTGGTCGCTGAGGCTGAAGAGCCGTGGCCTGTTTCTAGGTTTGGTTAGGCCATTCTGGGAAATCGGGAACGTGGCTCGGCAGGGCTCTTTCTGACATTCATGGATCCTGATTTGTGTCTCCTCAGGGGCTTCGCACTTTTCAAAGCCAGGATGATCAAGCAGATGACCGCCCACCTCTGGGCTGAAAAGAAATCCTTGGTCCAACTTAAGCGGCAGTGAGTGTCATGGGGAGGAGGGGGAGGAGAGGAAGACACCCAGCAGGGGGAGGGGGGCGGAAGTTTATCCTGGCTTTCAGGACTGGGGTCCTGAGACACCCTTCCCTGGAGCAAGAAGTAGTTTTCATTTTTGTTGATTTGACCCAAACACCAGACCTGAGATGGAGGTCAGCCATCAGCTCTTGTATCACAACCATTTCTGGCTCTCCTGGGAGAGATCTTGTGATTCAAGTGAGGAATCTGCCAGGGGGAATCGAGGATCTCTGAAGGATCTGCAGATGTGGAGGGCTCAAAGCCCCTGAGATTGCTTGGAGGTGAAGCTTCTGCCCTGGTGGACGGAGCTCCAAGGGCCAAGTTGGGACCTTCAGGCAGGGCTGAGGAAATGCCCGGAGGAGGGCGGGGCAGGGAGACACATGATCACTGGGGAGGAAGGGTCTTGCAGGATCGAGCCACCCACTTTGACTTCTGGGGCCCAGAGAAATTACTTGAGGTGAGGAAACCCTGCAGGCAAAAGAGGATCCAAGATGGATGTTGGCATGGGGAGATGGAGCCTCTGTGCCACTGCCCAGTTCCTGCCCTCTGCCCACAGGATGCAACGGATTCGAGCCAAGCAGGAGAAGTACCACCAGGGACAGCTGGCCAGAGACTCGGAAGAGGCCACGGAGGCAGACACGCCAGGTGTGAAGGGAGTTTCAGGGCTAGGGAGCATTTCTGGAAAGCCTCTAGGAAGCCCACAGCTTGGCCATGCCCAGGGGCAGCAGATCTCCAAGTGGCCCGTTCCACAGTATGGTTTCACTGGATGCCCACGTCACATCAATGCCACACCGCTGTTCTGGCAGTGGATCCTACGAAAGCAGCCATTCTCCTCACAGGAGACGCCGGAAAGTGTGACTTCAGATGCCATGTGGAGCCATGGAAGGCAGATGGGGGAGGATGGGGGTCTTCCTTTATCCTTGCAAGTCCCACCCGCCTTCCTTCTAGGACTTGAGCCCTCCTTGCCTGCAACCCCCATGTAGCCTTTGATTACACCCTGCTTGGTCTCCATGAAGAGTGGTGGGTGCTCTCTTCTTTCGCCCACTCCCAGCCGCATGAAGCAGGCATGGCTTTTGCCCCCGAGAGATTATGGGTTGCCTGGGAGGGACCCAGGCGGTGGCCCTGGTTCCTTTGGGCCTGGGCTCGCGGATGGCATCAGGGTGCGTTAGGAGAGGGAGCAGCTGCTCGTTCGGGCTCGGCTGGCATTGTCCACGGTCCCTTCCTGTGACCCTCATCTGCCTTTGTACCATGTTCCACAGCCTCAGGTGCCAAGAAGGACCCTGGCCAGCAAAGGAAGCGCTGGTGGCGCCCGTGGTTGGATCACGCCACAGGTACAGCCCAGCCCTGCCTCAGGGCTGGTGGACATACTAACCCCTGGCTCTGCCAGCCATTGCAATTGCTAACCATGGTTTCATCTGGATTCTGAATCCATCTCCTCCATCCTGCCTGCCTCTTTCTGGACGGGGCCTGTCTCTCTTCCAGGGTCTTCCAGCCATCGCTTGCTTGGGCTGCCTTTCTCAGTCAGCGTCTCTTGCTGCCTGGGCCCTTCCAGAGACCACTGCAGCTTCAGTTCTCATCAGGCACCAGGACCCTGGTTGCTCGTCTCAGGGCTACCAGAAGCCTTGGGCAAGCCCTGTCTTGGTTGGGGACCATAGCTGAGACCTTTCAAGGTGGCCTACTTCAGGCCTTGAACTGCATGTAGGTCCCAGGCTCGGTCCTGACTTATTTGGTGGGCTGTCTGGAAGCTAAACCACTATCCAGACCAGCTGGTTCACACCATTCTGTGGCTTTTGGGGTTTGACTTAGCCAGCTGTGCCTTAGTCAATACACTGAGATTAAATCATGGCTTGCTTGTAGTATATAGACCGGGTGGAGCACAAAATGGTCTTGGATCATTGCTTATTTGTCAGCGCAACTAGGTAGACCAGACTAAGACGCCAATGCCATCACTCCTACTCTTATTGTAAAGTTATAGTAGCAGAATCTTGCAAGTCAGAATGTGCTTCCCCTGCCTTTATCTTTGGGCGAATTAGGTTGGGGCTCATCCAAAACACTTTCTCACATTACATTCGTGCCCGGGGCTCAGTCCCCTCTAGTCTGGCAGCTGCCTTGATAGCACCTCTCCCTCCGCCCATTAAGGACATCCCCGCTGCCCTCTACACCTGCCTTAGGCACGTTGGCTGAGCCACCAGATCTTGCTGTGAAAGGCTTGCTGGCTTTGGCAATGCATGCTACGGATGCAGTCCAGCGTTTCTCAGCCTGGGCAGCTGGGAATTCTGGGAACCGAAGTCCATACATCTTAAAGCCTCCAAGGTTGAGAAACAATATTTTACTGTGCGGTATGGACTCTGCCTGATGGAGCAGGGTCTGGTTTAGTGGAATGAACTTCCAAAGAGAGAGAGAGAGAGAGAGAGAGAGAGAGAGAGAGAGAGAGAGAGAGAGGTTGGTTCTCACTCTACGGGGTAGGAACCCTCACCAAAGAAGGGAAACGGGGCCAGCTAGGTGCCAACCAAGCCACCCGCTTGGCACCCCTGTGGTCCTAGCCAGGATGGGAGGCTGGGCTGCCAGAAACCCGCTGAGATGTTGCGTGGACAGCTGGTGGCTGGTCTCCTCCATCGCCAGCTTCTTATGCCTGCTTGGGGAGGGGGGTGTCTCTGCATGTTTTTGTTGCCTGGAAAACGTTTTCTCCCTGCAGCTTTTTGACTTTCTCTGCTTCTCTTTTCTTCCCTCTAAGGAAAACCACATTCTGTGGAGGGCAGCCCCACCTCGCCTGCTGTACCCTCCCCAGAGGAAGTAGCCCTTCCTTCTCGGGTGGACGGAGGCTGCCGGGGGAGGCAGGGCCATTACAGGGGTAATGTGTTTGCACGAACAGAACGGGGCGGGGGGAGCGGAGTCTGTTTGGGAAGAATCTTCCCTCCTGCTCACTCGAATTCCCTTGGAGATCCAGCTGCAGGAAGGGGATCTTCCGAGCATTGCTCCCCACCCCCAGGAACGCACTGGATTTTACTGGGGGGGGAGGGTTCGTTTGCAAGCCCTGGTGGGGTGTACCCAATGCATTTAGGGCGGCATTTCTCAACCGAGGCAGCTTGAAGATAGGTGGGCGTTAACTCCCATGCTGGGTGGGGGATTCTGGGAGTTGAAGTCCACCCACCTTCAAGTTGCCACGGTTGAGAAGCACTGCTTTAGGGCGCACGCAGCGTCTTGCCTTATTGACAAAGCAATGCCAGGCAGTCTCCCAACCGAAAGCACAAGCTCACAAGTTGAAAGGAGCCAACAAACGGCCCAAAGCACCAAACCCGAAGTTCACAACAGCAGCAAAAGAGCCTAACAAGAATGCTGTAAGATGACTTGACAAGTCTGGGAAGTTTCCCTGAGGACAATCTAGGTCGGAAGAGCCAACTCCAAGCCAGCCTTTGTGCAGATGCTCTGGCTGGTCCTCCAGCGCTCCGGCCTCGCTCTGGAGGTAGACCCAGCGCTGAGAAGCGCCCCTTGTTGAGAGCAGCCAGTCCCTGCGGGTTTTGAGGCTCAGCTCCTCTGATCTGGACCCTTTGCAGTCTTTCCAGTCCTCTTTTCCTGTCCTTTACCTGTAGAGTGGCCCTTCTGTGTACATGCCTAGAGGCTCTCTTGTTCTTCTGTCACTTTTCTTGCATGTCTCTATTCTCGAGGGAGCCATGGCCTTCCCCAACCCAGGTGGGGCTGTTGAGGGGAGGAGGAGGAGGAGGAGGAGGAGGGCATTGGCTGATGCTGCGTTTTGCTGTGGGGCTCCTAGTGCTGCACTCGGGGGATTACTTCTTGTTTGAGACGGACAGCGAAGAGGATGAGGAGTCGGCTGTGGAGGACCCAAAGCCCCCAAAGCAGAGCGCCTTCCAGGTAAGGGAGGAGGGTAGGTTTCCCCCTACAAGGCCGTGGGGAGCACAGATATTACTGACTGTCTGGGATGGATTTATAGAAATTGTTTTACAATACAAGGCACAAAAGCTGCCTAATTCTTTTGTAGCTGGGCTCACAGCTGCTGGATAAATAAATATATTCCTCCTTTTTAAAGACAACTTTCCTGCTCCCCAGGCACTGATAGGCTGCTGCATGAATGCCATATATTAATAAGAATAACCTCTGCACATGCTCAAGGTGGCTATGTCTTCTCTTTCCACCTGCTTGAGCTGTTCCTTGGCAAAACTCTTTGAGACTACTTGAGGCAGGCAACCCTGTGCCATGCGGAAGTTGTCCTGAGATGGTTCTCCTGGGGGTGGACTCTCCTGCCTCTGGGGTGTTCTCAGCTTGACATTCTCCAGCAGTTGAATGAGGCCGTCTCAGTCTCTCTTTTCGTCTTCTTGGTCCAGCTAGCTTACCAGGCCTGGATCACCAGCACTAAGACTGTCCTACGAAAGCAACAGCGCCAGGAGAAAGAGGAACAGGAGGCAGATCCAGCCGAAGGCACCTTGTCTCCAGGTGAGACCTTTTTTCCAAACCCAGCTGTGGGACCACAAAGGGCTGCTTTCCTGACACGATTCAGAACATGAATGGTGACCATGGTGTACCCAGCTGAACACAATCCACTGGTTTCACCAGCTCTCCCTCTTGCAGGTGAGGAGGCCAAAGACGAGACTTTGCCAGGTGAATTGACAGAGGAGAGACGCAGCCAGCAGGAGGAGGAGGAGGAGGAGGAGGAGACAACTTCAGGTAGGTGGAAGGCAAGGCTCACAATGGAAGGGAATGCCTGCCCAGTTCACCTTTGACCCCCGCCTTCAGATTCCAAATCCCTTAGGACAGTGATGGCAAACCTTTTAGAGACCGAGTGCCCAAACTGCAACCCAAACCCACTTATGTATTGTCGGGTGCCAGGTGGGCGTGGCCCACTGGGTGGGAGTGGCTGTGGTGGTAACAGCAGATTGGGTGGGAATTAAAAAGTTCAATCAATCAATTCCAACTTTGCGAGAACTTTTTTTTCCCGCGAGAAGTTGAAATTGATTGATTGAACCTCTTTTTTTTTGCACGCAGCGGCGGAGGCCTAAAGCGAAAAGGTTTTATAAAACCCAGCTGAATGCCTAGGACTGGGGCAATGGCATGTGTGCCCACAGAGAGGGCTCTGTGTGCCACCTGTGGCACATGTGCCACAGGTTCGCCATCACGGCCTTAGGACAAGATTTCTCAACCTCAGCAATTTTAAGATGGGGGGACTTCAACTCCCAAGATTCCACAGCTCCAATTTTACAACTTTTTTTGCACTGATCATTAAGTGAAGTGGTCATTGAGCAAACCTATCATTTACTTTGGGGCATTTTTCCTGAAAACCAGATGTAAACATGGGTTTTCAGTAGCAATCTCATTAATCGTCACGACCGTGGGATGCTACACAGGTCTGTAAATGTGGAGTAATTGCCAAGCACCCAAAATGTGGTCATGTGACTATGGGGGGGGGTGGAGGAATCAAAACTCTGAAACCAGGTCGTAAGTACCTTTGGGGTGAGTCTGTCATAACTTTGACCAGTCACTAAGTAACTGGTCATAAGTCAAAGACTACGTGTACACAGTTAACCAGGAACTTGCACAGGGTTGCCAGCCTTCAGACAGAGATAGGCCAGTTGGACAGACTCCCTTGTAAGAGCCGGATCCTCCATGTACAGGGGCAGTTTGCTGCAAGCAAAGGGAGGAGGGAAATATGGAACAATTAACCAGAGGAACAGCTTGCCACCTGAAATTGTGGTTGCTCCATCACTAGAGGTTTTTAAGAAGAGACTGGACAGCCATTTGACTGGAATGGTATAGGGTCTCCTGCTTGAGCAGGGGGCTGGACTAGAAGACCTCCAAGGTCCCTTCCAACTTTGTTGTTCTATTACGGGCTCCCTTTTCTGCCTGGAGATTTTGCGAGTGACCCGGGCTGGTCTTTTCTCAGGGAAGAGCAACGTACTGCAGCGGGTGCTGAATGTCCTGCGCTTCCTCTGGGTGCTGTGCCAGGCCACGGTGGACGGCTTGACCCGGTGGCTGAGAGCCCTCACCAAGGAGCACGAGCATCTCTCCACCGTCCTGGGCCTGGAGAGGTTTGTGCTCACCCAGCAGCTGGATCAGGTGAGCGCCCATCAGCCAGGCTGGGGCTGGGTTGGAGGGGGACTCGGCTTGCTCAGGAAGACCCGTCTCTGTCCCGCCCACACAGGCAGAGGAGGTTCAAAGAGGCATCCTGGACAGATTATACCAGCCATCCCTGCCGGCCGACAACACCTCGCAGGACACGGCCTTGCCTGGGACGGCAGCAATCTCGCCCAACAGCATGGCTTCCAGGCAGGTGCATAATGGGGCCGGGGAGGGGAAGCCGGAAGGCAAGGATTGGGGCAGTTCTGCCTTGTGTACGTGGGGCTGTGGGCCCAGAGTGTGTGCCTGCTCCCTGTAGGGCACAGGAGTTGAGGAAGGAGCACCCCTGGACGTATAACAGGGCCACCTTCCCAGGAACAGAAAGTTGGACCAGTTGTGCAAACCAGCTCAGGACAAGGTTCCTGTCTTGGAGGTGGACCTTGAACATGCATCTCCCAGGCTTTCTAGCCCTCAATTCTGCCTCCTCCTCCTCCTCCTCCATCATCATCCTTTGTTTCTCCACCATCTTGCAGCCCTGCTTTGGGGGCAATTGCTGCGATAGCCCCTGGGTGGTGGGTGCCTTTTCCTTCCCTGGAGGCCCTTGACAGCCACCTACGAGGAAGTTGGCAGTTCAGTTTCTTGTATTGATTGAGATAGGGTTGGATGACCTCTTAGAGCCCTTCCAACAGTAGACTTGCACAGCACACCAAACTTGGACAGTTTCAGGCTGAGTTCATTTTCTTAGTGCTCCAATGTTAGGAGTACCAGCTGGTGCAGTTAGTTAGCTTCTTGTGTAGCATGTTGTGTGAATGTCTATGGAGATTCTCAATCATCCAGGTCATGGTTGTCCCAAACGTGTTTTTTTCCAAAAGGCAACTGGGCTTTCTTGTTTTTTTCCTTGAAAAACCTTTTGCTTCTCATCCAAGAAGCTTGGATGAGAAGCGAACTGAACAAGCTTCTTGGATGAGAAGCAAAATGTTTTCAGTTACATTTTGGAAAAGCAGCTTTGGGACAGACCTGTTAGGTGAACTGGGAAATAAGGTGAATTCAGTCAAGTTTGCACCAACGTCAGGTAACTGAAGCCCCTTGTTGTAAGACGCTGCTTAACCCCCATTATGATTGCACAGTGGCTGCGACGGGGCCGAGGTTTTCAGTGCTGACAGCACCGGCTACAACTCTCGAAGCGCCAGCGAGGAGCAAATTCCAGCCGTGGATCTTCCAGACAACGCAGGACTCCTTCCCAGCAACTCCCAGGAGTTGCTGGCTTGTGCTAAGAGTCGGCCCCGCACCGCCAGTGAATTGCTACTGAACAGGTACTGCGTTGGGCAAGCAAGCCCCCCCCCCGCACGTATCTTGGCTTCTTAGGGTCACACGTGCCTGACATTCCATTAACATCACCCGGTTAAAGATACACAGCTTCAAAAGTTGGCATGGAGGTCCCAGTTCAGCACGTAGGAAAAACTATAAGACAATAATTTCTGGGTGCCTTAAGGATTTCCCAAACCGTAATGCAGGACTGTTACTACAAAGTACATGGGACAGTCTGTTTTTTGGGGGGAAAAACACAGTTCAAAGATAAAGACTAACATTGTGTGCAAAAGTCCTCCAGAGCAGGGTTCTCCTTCTTTGGCAACTTTTAAGACTTGTGATCTTCAACTCCCAGAATTCCCAGGCAGAGAGGATCATTGTGGGAATTGCAGGCTCAGTATAATACATACAGAAGCTCTGTGAAACGTGCAGATGGTGGTGGGTGTGGTGATTCCAGTTTGGAGGAACTTTGCTCCTCATTGTAGCTTTTCCAACCTCCTGCCCCCCCCCCCCACACACACACCTGTCCCTTCTGTCATCCAGACGTGTCTCTTTCGAGGAGCTGGAGGAATCCGAGCAGTTCTACCGTTCCCAAAACCGCTTTGTGCAGCTGCTGGTGGCCTGTTACCACTTTGTGGCCGGGCACTCGGACCTGCTGTGTTACTTCGTCATCATCCTCAACAACATGGTCACGGCCTCGGTCATCTCGATCGTCCTGCCCATCCTCATCTTCCTGTGGGCCATGCTCTCCATCCCGCGGCCCAGCAAGTCCTTCTGGATGACGGCCATCGTCTACACAGAGGTGGGGCCCTCCTTCAGCACAGGGGAGGAAGTTTCTGAAGCTAATTTTGATGGGAAGAAATGGCTTAGCACAGTGTTTCCCAGCTTGGCAAACTGAAGATGAATGGACTTCAATTCCCAGGATTCTCAGCAGTGGCTGTGGTAGATGTGGAATTCTGGGAGTTGAAGTCCATATACCTCCAGTTAGGAAACCCTGAGCAGATTTTCTCTCACTGGGTGCCCACCTGGTGTGTTGGACTGCCTGCATTCCCCTACCTGCAAGAACTGGAGCCCAGCATGGCACACTGGAGAGGACCGGCTTGAGGAACTCTGGCTTAGGATTCTCCATGTTGTTGGGGTAGAACAAAACATAGCTCCCCCCACCCCCCCGAAGAAGAAAACCAGCTCAACACTCAGTAGGAACCTCCTTTGTGGCTTTGTCAAGTTTCAGGAGAGATTGTGGTTGAGCCACAAAGGCTGAAGAAAGATACTGAGTCTAGCCCATGCTCTGGACTCATTATGATGGTTGAGAGTTGAGCCTACCTATTCAGAGGCAATTTATCTTTAGCTGTTGGGTTTCAGATAATGAGGAAAGATGCTGCCTTCCATCTTTCCTTGTGAGAAGACACTTCTGGCAGAAAATGAAATGCTGGACATCCAAATCTGTTCTAGAGCTCTTCTCCCCTGGACTCTAAAGCCTCTCTTCTTGCACAGGTGATGGTGGTGCTCAAGTACCTTTTCCAGTTCGGCTTCTTCCCCTGGAACAGCTACACCACCATGGTGCGCTACGAGGGGAAGCCTTTCTTTGCGCCTCGCATCCTGGGCATTGAGAAGACCGACAATTACATCAAATATGACCTGATTCAGCTGCTGGTGCTCTTCTTCCACCGCTCCCTGCTGCTGGTAAGAGAATCCGGGCTCTGGAGAGGCTGGAATTCCCATCTGGGCCGGGAGAGCAACCTTGGATGAGGCCAAGTGACATCTGCCAAAGAATGTGAGATTGGGGAAGTTGCTAGGAATTACAGCAAGAGACCCATCTGGGGTGGCCTGGACTTCTTTCTCCCACGCTTCGCTGCGTCTGGGTTCTGCAGCACAGCTTGGTCCCTTTCTGAATGAGCTGTCCTCTCCAGAGCTATGGCCTGTGGGACCATGAAGAAGACCTGCTGGCCAAACCTCAGCCGGAGACAGAAGAATCGCCAGATGCGGCCAAAGAAGAGGAAGAGCCAGAGCCTGCGGCACTGGCCAGCTCCGAGGCAGAGAAGGTGGTGGTGGAGGAGGAGACGGAGCCAGAAGCGCAGAAGGGGGTCCGTTCACGGTTCAGAAAGAAAGGGGACAAGAAGAAGCAACTGAGCAAATCTCTGGAGGACCAAAGGGAGGCAGGTACGTAGTGACCCGCTACAGAGGGAGCTGAAAAGTGGGAGGGCGGGAGACTAGGTTTGCTTACTTATTCAGTGGTTGCATGGATCAGATTGATTTATATGGCTATCTGGGTCCCGTTAGAGGGCAGAGATTAACAGAGCAGACCCTATGCCAAGAGAGTTAATTCGGCTGGGATGAGTGGGGGGGGTGAGGGGGATGTGTAAATGCTCCCTAGCTGAAGCACATCCGTGGGAGGAGGGCAGAGATTGGCCAATAGTTCATCCTGTTCCTCTCTTTCCCATCTCCCCCCCAGAGGTTCAGGAGCAGGAAGGAGAGGAAAAGGTGGTGGAGGAAGAGGAGGAGGAGGAGGAGAAGAAGAAGAAGTCAGGCCCATCCCGAGAAAAGATGAAGGCTGCCAAACGCCAACTGAAGCACTTCGTTGCTTCTGCGTAAGTGGTGGATAACTGGGCTGGTGGTGGGAGGGGAGGGGTAGGCAACAATCTTTGGGCAGATTCTCCTCACCCAGAAATATTGGTTGTCGTGTTTGGGCTCTTCCTCCCGTGAGTCAGGCTGTGGCAGGTTCATATGTTGTGTTCAGCCATTGCCATCCCTCTTAGATGGACCAGACAGGGAAATCAATTCCACAGCAAAGACTGCTTGATGGAGATGGGCCCTAATAACAGAACCTTGCAAGTCAGATTGTGCTGGACACCCTCCCCCCCCCTATACTTCAGTGAATCGGTGAGGTGTCTGCCTGAGCTTCTTTCCCACGTTATCTCATTGCTCTGGACTTAAAACACATTCAGCCCCTTTTCCCTAGGCCACCCTTCCTGCATATCTCCATCAAGGTCACCTTCCTGCTTCTCTACCATCATTGTATTCGTGGCTCAGCACAATGTGCAGCCTGTCCATAAGCCCACCTTCTCTGTGACTCCGGCTGGGCCCACCCTTGCACCCTACAGAGGTGACCTGGGTCCAAACCTCTTGGCCACCGGCAGTTCTGCACTAGAGCACCCCGGGGAAAGCACACACACACACATCCTTACTCAACCCTCTTCATCCCTCTTCCTCCAGAGCAGAGCGCAGCTTCCGGCCAGCATGCCAGTTCTTCCAGGACATCCTGCACAGCAAGTACTGTGCTGCCACAGATGTTTACGCTCTCATGTTCCTGGCTGATGTGGTGGACTTCATCATCATCATCTTTGGCTTCTGGGCCTTTGGAGTACGTCTGGCAGGGCCACTCGGGACCTGAAGCTTTCCTCAGGCTGTTGCCATGGTTTTCCTGGGGTGACACTTCCCACCCAGAGGTCTTGGGCACCTGCTGGGAATTCTGGAGTTGTAGTCACTGGGCACCTAGCAGGTGCTTCTTGGACTATTCCAGCAGAACTTTAGGAATCAGGGTACTCCAGGACTGAACTCTGTCAGCTAAGGAGGGACAAAATGAAGGAGATGAAGGAGCAGGGGTCCCCAGTGGGCTTATCTGCTGCCCGGGGACCACCCTCCCTTTGACTCTTGCTGAGCTTTGGATAAAACAGAGTGGAAAATTCCAAGCATCACTAAAATTCAGCACAGGTTCACCTATGCTATACCAGGGACAGTTGGCTTGGAGTTCCCTGGACAGGAGTAGAACATTTCCTAGGAAAATTGGGGCAGTGGGAGAAGGTGTATCTTTGTGTTTGCCTGTCCTTCCTACCTGAGCTTCTCTTCCCCTGCAGAAACACTCGGCTGCAGCCGACATCGCATCCTCACTCTCCGAAGACCAGGTGCCCCAGGCGTTCCTGGTGATGCTTCTGATTCAGTTCTCCACCATGGTCGTTGACCGGGCACTCTACCTGCGCAAGAGCGTCCTGGGCAAGCTCATCTTCCAGGTCATCTTGGTCTTTGGCATTCACATCTGGATGTTCTTCATTTTACCTGCTGTCACAGAGAGGTGCGCGGCTGTTTCTTGGCCTCCCCCTGCCCTGACTTAGGCCTGCTCCTTTAAGGGGTGTGGAGGTTGGTTCATCCTTGATCTCCCTCCCCAGGAAGTTCAGCCAGAATACGGTGGCCCAGCTGTGGTACTTTGTGAAGTGCATCTACTTTGGCCTCTCTGCCTACCAGATTCGCTGCGGTTACCCCACCCGCATCCTGGGGAATTTCCTCACCAAGAAATACAACCACCTGAATCTCTTCCTCTTCCAAGGGTAACAGCTGAGCCCCCAGCAAAATAGGGGAGGGGGCTGCTGGGAGAAGTAGAGCCTGATATGGAGTCCTTTAAGCAGAGGCAGACAGCAGGACCTTTGGGGGGGGGAACTAGAACGCTTTGCAGCAAGGTAGAACATGCAGACCTTTCTTTGGGCGGGCAGCTGAGAACATGGATTCCACCACGTCCCATGCCTCCATGTGTCTCTACACCTGGTACCCCATTTCCTTACCATGCATCATGGTAAGCACCATGCACCATGATGGTCAGGGGGAAATGGTAACATGGATTTCCGCAGAATTGTCCAGGGTCAACCAGAATCCACCCCTGGAGGATCTGAAGGTGGATCTCGTGGCTCCACAGGTTTCGCCTGGTGCCTTTCCTGGTGGAGCTGCGAGCTGTCATGGACTGGGTCTGGACGGACACCACCCTGTCCCTCTCCGACTGGATGTGTGTGGAAGATATCTATGCCAACGTCTTCATCATCAAGTGCAGTCGTGAGACGGAGAAGGTGGGCCTCCGTGGAAGGGGAGGAAGCCTGGTGGAGCTGGGTCCCCAGCACAATTCCCGTAGCCCTAGTGAGCATGGTGGCCTTCAGTAGGATGATAGTCATAAGTGGAATATTCCTCCAATGGGATTTTCCAATGTATTTTACCAGGAAACATAGATAGGGCAGCCTAGAAAAGTAAGTGCCCTCCCAACCATGCCCAAGTATTCCGAGTTTGTTGGCGATGTCCATTTTGCTCTCCGAGTTCATAGTGGCGTAACCCTAACCCTAACACAACTTAAAGGGAGGCTTTCTGCAGAAGACCTCGGGTGCCAGAACTGACCCCCTCCCTCCCCCCTGCAGAAATACCCACAACCCAAGGGTCAGAAAAAGAAGAAGATTGTCAAATACGGCATGGGAGGCCTCATCATTCTCTTCCTCATCTGCATCATCTGGTTCCCGCTGCTCTTCATGTCCCTCGTGCGCTCCGTGGTGGGGGTGGTCAACCACCCTATCGATGTCACAGTTACCCTCAAATTGGGGGGCTATGAGGTAAGAGGAACTGCCTTGCAGAGAAGCAAAACAACAGGCCACCCAATTTGCAGATGCTGCCGGATTACAACTCCCAGCATCCGTCTCGATTAGCCACGCTGGCTGGACATTGTAGCCTGGCCATGGCCCATGTCGGTTTTAAGGGGCAGACGGGCTTAGCTATTATAGCAGTTGCAGCCCAAGTGCCTTGCCAGCACCTGGCACTCAAAGAGACCCATAGATTGGGCAGCTCTAGACACCCCCAGCCCCTCTGCATCTTGGGGGCTTCTCTCTGTTGATGGTTTCCCTGTGGCAGCTACGAGCACCATGCTGTTGAAATGGATGGGTCAGGATTGATGGTGTCCCTGAAAGTGTGGCTCCCCTCCATCCCTTCCCCCTTGTTTCTTCTTCAGCCTCTCTTCACCATGAGCGCCCAGCAGCAGTCCATCCAGCATTTCACCCCTCAGGACTACGAACAGTTGACGAATAAGTTTGAACGGCAGCCAGTGAGTCCTAGCCGGATGGGATGGCAGGGAGGAGGGGGATCCCCTCGTTCAAGTGGGTGGGAGGATCAGCATCTTTCCCCCACCCATTAAAGTGGAAGGAAGCCCCGCCAGGGTGGGCTTGGTCTGAACAGGGAGGGGGGGCTGCCAGGCTGTGCTCTGCTGACCCGGCCTGGGACTCTGCCGCCCCCAGCTGGCCATGCAGTTCATCACCCAGTACGGCTACGAGGACGTCGCCTGGGCCCGCATCGAGGGCAGCTCCGGATCCCTGTGGAGTATCAGCCCCCCCAGCCGTGAGCAGCTCTGGCAGGAGCTGCACAACGGCTCCTCGGACATCACTCTGCGCTTCACCTGGAACTTCCAACGGTACTTCAGACCGGGGCCACAAAGCCTCCCTTGCAGGGCGGTGCAATGCCTGCTTAAGCCAGATGCCCCTCTTGGCCTTGTGGGGTTTGCCTGGAACGGCCACGGCCTGTGCAACCCCGAAGAGTGCTGCTTCTGGCATTTTGAGGCTTAGGACAGCCTGAGGGGGTTGTGGGTGCAAAAGAGCTCCCTGGATGGGGTAGGGGTGTGTGACAAAGGGATCTGAAACCCCCTTCTTCCGCTTCTCCTTGACCCTAAAATTCCCTTCCTTCCTCCTCCTCTTCCTCAATCGCCAGGGATCTCCGCAAAGGAGGAAAAACGGAGTACACCACCCAGAAACACACCATGGATCTGGACCAGAGGAGTCTCGTGAGGCAAAATTTGGCTGGAATGCTGCAAGGCACCTATCATGCCCCTGTGTGAGTCCCCCTTCCCCGCCCCTTCCAGCAAGGCACCCATTGCCAAATGGGCCAGGGAGTGTGGGGGGCCAGCAAGGTGGGGAAAGGGGCCTCCGGTTGCAGGGCTCCAGATTCACACACCGCAGAGCCTGAAGCGCACGGTGGCTTCAGCCATGTGCAAATGCTGCCTGTGTTTTCAGGCTTATTTATCTTGCTGTGTTTTGTCCTTGTCCCAGGCGGATACCCCATCTCTTCCCTCCCTACATACGGGCACCCAGCGGCCCCGAGGCGGACCCGGTTGAGCCCCTGCTCCCAGGTGAGGACACCGGGCAGAAACCCCTTTGCACAAACTCACAGCTGACCCTTTAATTTCCCAGCTCCTCTCTCTGAGTTGATGCAAGTTCCCGATGCTAGTTGGGAAACAATCCAGGGGCTAGAATTGGCTCCCCCCGTCAGCAGAAATGCCCACCTGCCGGGGCACCTTTCTGGCTTTTTAAGCTGGGAGCAGGAACAGGAGGCAAATGGCTCCGTTTCCCTGTTCCTAAAAGGCCAACCTCGTGCCCAAGACACCTTTGGCTCGGCAGGGTGGTTTTCCAAGGTGAAAAGAGAGCGGCTTGCCTTCCCTCTCTGCTTTCCTGCTTGTTTTTGAAACAGAGCTCCAAAATTCATGTAGTGCAAACTCGGGAATTTTGCTCCTCAGTTTTGGTGGCACGTAGTTTGAAGCCCCAGTAAGAAGAGCAGAAGGAATTAAAATGGTCCGATGAATAGATAAATCCCTGGCGCCGCTCCTAAACAGTGCAACTGGGGCAGGGAGGACTCTAAAGAAATGGGAGCAACTGGTGAGGAAGAGCGTTCCCAGTGCCAGGATGGACGTCTCTCTCGATAAGCGGGCTGGTGCTTTTTTCGGCACCTTCTTCCCTCTCCCCCCCTCTCTTCCAGACGGAGAAGACAGCTACCTGCACGTGCAAGTGCAGCTGAAGCAGCAGCGGATCCGGCCCGGGAACAGCAGCACCAGCTTCCTGGAGTGGTGGATGATCCAGCTGGTGGACTGCCAGGCGGACTGCCACCTCCTGCCCATGGTCATCTTCAGCGACAAAGTCAGCCCCCCCAGCCTGGGCTTCCTGGCAGGATACGGGTGAGTGACCAATCCACCAGCCCATCAGGGTGAACGCTAGGTGTGCTTGGAGCAGACATGGATGTAAGGAAGCGGCAGGGAAGCTGGGCCTGAGATCCCCAGGGAAAGAGCAAGCCCCCCCCCCAGTTGAATGGGGGTCCCTGGGCTCACCTGGCTTTGCTGCAGCCGGCCCACTTAGATTCCACCACCTGAGACAGCACTCGGAAGATGGTTAAATGCTGCCCCTTTGTGAGAGAAATGCAACCAGCGTTTCTTTGCCCACAGATGTTAATAGCTTGCAAAACTTTAACCACCTAAAAGGGGGGGGGTCCCCAATCTCCCTCCTACCTGGCATGGCCATCTTGCAAAGCGTTTCTAAAAATAAACAGCAGGATTAGGGTGTCTCCTTTCCTGCTTTGAAGTGACACAACCTCCACGCATCAATCAGAGAGGCAAGGCGGGTCATTCGGTCCCTTTTCAAGGTTTCCTCTGGATCAGCAAACAGCTGAGATCACGCCCCAGGCTAAGCCATGGGATCAGGGCTGGCAGATCCCGGCGGATCCTGCTCATCCAGCCTGCTGATGCTTCGTCAGTCGTGGGAATGGGTTCCGGAGTCAGGGGGTCTTTCAACGGCCTGGGGGAGGAGGGGTTGCCTGTCCTATCACTGTAGGAGCTCTTTCTCTGCTCAGGATCATGGGCCTCTACGTCTCCATCGTGCTGGTGATCGGCAAGTTCGTGCGGGGCTTCTTCAGCGAGGTCTCCCACTCCATCATGTTTGAGGAGCTGCCCTGCGTGGACCGCATCCTCAAGCTCTGCAACAACGTCTTCCTGGTTCGGGAGACGGGGGAACTGGAGTTGGAGGAGGAGCTGTACGCCAAGCTCATCTTCCTCTACCGCTCGCCAGAGACCATGATCAAGTGGACCCGGGAGAGGGACTGAGCGGAGGGCCGGCACAGAGGGAGCTCCCTTCACCCATGAAGCAGCCGTGGGAGACCTGCAGCCCAGGAGGGGGAACCGGAACGGGGACCCGGCCAGCTGCTGCTCCTGGACACCGACCCTTCCTGCCCCACTGAAGGCTCTGGGGTGGGGCGGCCCCATAACCTGAGCCACACTTGCAGCCCAATGCAGGGGGAGACACACAAAACACTTTTTGAAACACTTTTCCTTTTTAAAAAAAAAAATATACTACATGCTCCGCCTCCCGAGCCTGGACTCCTGCTTCCTTCCCCCATGGAGACCAGGAAGTGTTTGGAAAGGAATGGTTGTCCTGCTGCTGAAACGTCCAGAGCTGCCCACCTATCGCCCTCTGCAGCCACTGACCCTCCCTCCCCCTCTCCCTCTCGGCAAGCATTTTGCTGCTGGAAACAAGGCTGCTGGGAGTCTACAAAGTATTTTTTCTATAGGAGGTCATTTTATTTATACAGATCTATACAATAAAAACAAAGCTGTGATTTTCAGAAGGTGGTGAAAAGTCAAGGTGGACTTTGGGGAGTGAAGGAGAGAAATTTCTCTGGTTCAGCAGCCAAGCTTTGAGGGTTCGATTTCTCCGGAAATGTCCGGAACAGTTTTCAAGAGTTTAAATGAGGTCTTGGGAGGTCTGGATGGGGGCGAGTGCCAAGAAGGAACCTGGTTTCCTTGGGATGCTTATAAAACTTCTGTGAGCCTGCTCCCTTTATACCTTTTAGGATTTGAATCCTGTGTGTAGAAACATAGAAATTCAGTTCACTTGCGCATTCAAAGAGCTTAGGAGGCCAAACTGGCCACATGTGAAAGATCCTTCGTGGCTCAGTCTGGCTGTTGCTGGATCCAAAATGGTTTCTTTGCTTGAAAAACACTTGCGGAAGCAGAGCGTCAGGCCTTTAAGAGCATCACCCCCACACTCCTTTAGGCTGTAAAGCAGGAGTCCTCAACCTTGGCAACTTTAAGACTTGTGGACTTCAACTCCCAGCTTTGCTGGCTGAGGAATTCTGGGAGTTAAAGTCCACAAGTCTTAAAGTTGCCAAGGTTGAGGATCCCTGCTGTAAAGCACCGATGCAAATTAACCATCATCTTCAAGCAAGAATTCCTGGATTTCTTGTTTCATCACAGCCCTGCGAAGGAAGAGAAAGAGGCATCACTGCAAACCTGAGTTTGCGTATCACTCTAGACTAGGGTTTGTTCGAATAGCGTGCCGGCTGGGGAATTCTGGGAGTTGAAATCTAGGTATCTTAAAAAGTTGCCATAGTTCAAACGCATCCTTCAAGGACTTCTCCTTTTTGTCTTGGCCCCAACAGCTGCAGGAGTGCAAGCAGCGTCCCATTAGGGTGATCCTTTGTCCCCTTGCCCTGTTTTGCCAATTCTGTCCTTGCCACTGATGTCTGCGCCTCGGCAGGGGGAGTGGATGTAGCTCAGGTTGAATTGGTGAGGACTTGGGGTCTCTGAGCTGGCTTTTCTTCTTGGGCCCATTTTGTTACTGGGCTAGGAAAGCACATCAATGCACCAATAACAAAACAGTTGCAAATACCCAACAGTCTCTTTGGGCTGCATTGCTGCCCCAGAGAAGAGCAACACGGTCTCATTTCTCTTGGCACAAATTCCTCAGGTAACGACTTTGCCCCATACCTGCATCGCTGGTGCTTGGCCTCCTCATGAATGTAGGGGGGTAGAGACTCCACACAGCTCTGCAAAGGAATTTTGGAGTGAGCAGGGGCAGAAGGATCCACCGGCCTTGTTACTTTACAAGGGGTAGCCCCTCAATTACCATCAACCCGTAGCAGGGCATCCCAACAGCCACCCACCACATAAACTGAAGTGCCTCAAAAGCCAGCATGGAACCCCAGAAATTCTCCAAACTTCAAGCCAGAGTGCTGCTTGTCCTCAGCCTGGTCACTTCTGCCTCGGCCCAGCCGTGAAAGCAGTTGCGCACCTGTGCGTCAACACATACACGGGCCCTTCTGGTTGCACAACCCTTCCTTGCACACTTACCAGCTCCTTGACTGTTAGCCGGCAGCCATAGCAGAGCAACGGGACAAGCTGGGAGGTCTCACTGGGGGAAAAGCAGAACCTCAGTCACCTGTGCTGACTAGGGATTTACTTGGGGAGGGGGCTACGACGGGCTCATCCACATCCAACAGTACATTCTTTACGAGGGCTCTTACCTTCCTACTGGGGGTTTTCCGCAGCACCCTGCCTGGGTCCTCTCTCCGCAACATCCATCCTCACCTGGAGGCCTCCGGCTGAGCTTTTCTGAAAGCAGCGTGGCCTGCAAGGAGGATCCGTCCTCTGGGAGGAAAGGAGAATTACCGCCTCTGACAGCTGGTCCTTGGGCCAGGAGGCAAAAGCCGTGACGCCTGAAGCTGGATTTTTATGCACTGCAGGTAAGTGAACCTCACAGCATCCAGGGCTCAAGGATAGGATAGTTCCCCTGCACATGTTAAGCCAGCAGGCAGTCACGTCTGGATCTTTCCGTTCTAGCAAGTAAACTCTCCTTGCTGAAGCAGCAAGTTTGCATTTATCTCAATGCCTGTTTGGCAAAACAACAGGGAGGGAAACAACCCCTTCCTCCCCATTTCAATTCCCAGGTTTCTCCAAGGACTGGCTGTAACTCTGACACCGAAAAGATCTGGCTAGCATCTCGGCCCTTGCCTGTTCTAGAACCCCCAGCAGGTACCAAAAGTTAATCTAGAAGTGGGTCTCCCCCCCCCCCCAAAAAAAAAGACCACTAACCAACATTGGTGTCCAGGGGGCAGAGGCAGAGGAGGCAGTGGGCCGGTGCCGCCAGTACATCAGACTCAACCTCTCGAGGAACTGCACTCAGCTTCTCTCCTGTCCTGGAACAGAGACCAGAGGGGGCATCAGGGAGAGATGGAGGGAAGCCCACCTCCCGCCTCCCCCATTCACGCTACTTGCACCTCCTGAAGAGGCCATAAAACCCCTTTGGGACTAGACGCCACTTGTTTTAAGAGGGCACTTGCAGTCGAGAGCTGAAAGGATCCTGCCTATTAAACGCAGGCAGAGAAGGCTCAGCTGGATTTTCAGAAAGCAAGCCAACCCCCCCCCCAATCTGTTTTCTAGCTTGCTCTGCTTTGCCCACAGAAGCCGGGAGATGTAGCCAGAGCTGAAGAGGGTCCATGAGGATGTGGGAAGGGAGTCGTGCCTAATGGACAACACTGCTGATCGTTTACCGGGCACTTCATCCAGCAGTTGGTCCTTTACTGGGCGAAGGGAGGGATACTCACCGGTAGACTGTGCTGATGGTAGAAGGGAATTCCGACTGCAGCTTGCAGAGAAAGCTTTCCATCAGAAGGTGAATGCTGGCTCTGTCCGAGGCCTGGGGGAAGGGAAAGCATGTGTCACGGCTGCTCAGATCCCCCTGGCCGTCCCCTTCCACTCTGCCTCCAGCCAAACTCCAAACTGCCTACTTTGGTGTCCAGTCCAGGCGTGAAGACGGTGGGCACCCCAAAGAGGTAGTTGTAGAAGGCGATCTCTTTGGCAGGATATTCCCGCATTGGGCGCAGGATCAGGACGTCCCCATAGCGGCTGTCCAAGAAGCCCTTTGGGGAAGGAGAAAGGCAAGGAAGAAGAGGAGGGTGAGCAGGGCCAGATCAGAGACCAGAGAGGCACAGCTGCTCAGAGGCACCCGGCACCCTTGTACCACAACATCTCAGGAGGATTCTGGAACAGAGAGTGAGCTAATAGGGAAAGCTCCAACTGGTTTATCTGGCCACAGCCTCTCACAATGACCTGGCTCTTCTTCTATAGTATTATTCAGTCTGTTTGTTTGGAAAATATTCGTCAGTGGGCTTATCCTGGGTGAAATGTGCAGTCTTAGCCCCTTGACTCTATGCAGGTTTAGGTCAGGTCTGCTTCCCTCTTCAGGGGCCAGAATTGGCTTGATAAAGCTCAGGGCAGTGGCTTGCAAGGATGAACATGTCTAAACCAAAGAGCGAGGCAAGGAATCTCCTGATGAGACCAAAACATGGAGCAAGCTGTGTCCCGGGGGGGGGGGGGGGAGAAGAGAGAGGGGGGACACTATGAGCCACTTTGTTCTCACCGTGTCCATAGCCAGGAAGGCCCCACGTCCCAGACACAGGTTGGTCAGCAGCTTGGTGCTCACACGGGTGCAGCTATCTCCCACCATCACCTTCGTGTATCCATTTTTCCGAGCCACGTGCAGCATCAGGTGGGTCCTAAAAAGCAAAGAGATCTCTCCCATTTCAGCCAAGAATTTGGGATCCAACCAGGGGCCCAGAAAACAACAGAATGTTTGTTGTTTTCCTAGAAACAGCCACCCAGAATACCACAGAATCCGCAATCTAGGAGGACCAGAGTGAGCAGCCTTTGACTATGAAACCCTCTCTAAGTCTGGTTAGGGGCTGCTTGCAAAGACATCCTTCTATCAAGAACGGCAGCCTGTTTCCTGAGGCTCCTGAACTAGGATATGGCACTGAATGACCCTCTGTTAAGAGGGCTAGACAACAAGAATGTGTGTCTGCAAAGCTTCTTTTTAGTTTTCATCATTCTCACGATGGGACCTCATCCAGCCCACATTGTGGGCATTAACATCATCACTCAGGATCTGAGCAAGGAGCTCACCGGAGAGTCTGCAGAAGCTCCTCTTTTGCAGTTAAGGATCTGACACCCCGAAAGAGGCGGGCCAGCTCTTCCATGTGGGAAGCAGGGGAAGAGCCGGCATCATCCAGAAATGCCAACCGTTCCTGCCACGAGCAGCCTGGCGTGCTACACTCTGCCAGCCGGGCCTCCAGGGAAGTGTCTGCATCCCCCCTCTTCCCCTGCTGCTGCTGCTGCCACCTTGTGAAATCAGCCACTGCTTCCTTGTAGCTGGGAGCCTGGTCAGCAGGACTGTGGGGAAGCGAGTTCAGGACAGAAGTGGGAAGGTCAAACGCCTATGAAAGAACACAAGGATATAACTGGGTCAAACATTGACTGAAGCCTGCACAAACTACAATTGCTTTTTACAGAACTCAGAATTGTATTTCTTTCATGCCTTGTCAAGCTTAATGTCACTTTTCCTTTATTTTTTTTTCTGAAAGTGACAGTACTAGAAGGGCATCTATATTATCAGCTTCTCTTTTCACAAGTTTTTCTCTGATCCTCTGTTATTTTACTTCCATAATGCAAAAGTGGGCAAACTAATCTGGGCCAGAATTCATTCTCAGGACATAAAGGATTATACTAGCAACATCTGATGGAAGAAGGATAATACTGCCCTGCCTGGGGTCTTCCTAGTGTCTGCCTTTCTGATGCTCTAATTCAGCGTTTCTCAATCTCAGAAACCTCAGGATATGTGGAGCTCAACTCTCAAAACTCCCCAGCGAGCCCCAGAATTGTTGAGGATGTGAAGCCCTGCTCTAATTTAATTTGCTGAACAATACTAGTACTAATAATACAATTTCCTTCCAGGCAAATCACATCAAACCCGCCAGTTGACTAAGGCCACTGCTGTTGATGCCGTAACATCAAAATGTGCTGCAATGAGGGTGCTGAATCTCAGCCATATTTACCTCCTCCAAGAACGCCAGATGATAGGGAAATCCTGTGGCTCGCAGGATAGCCTCAACCTGCCTGCAGGTTTTCTCTCGCTCATCCAAGCTCCGTCCACACACAGCTCCCTCTGCACAGCAAAACCAAAACTGTCAGTAAGGTGAGTGGCTAGTCTGAAAGAACTTCAACAGCCCTGGGAACATTCTCTGCCACGGTATCTTCAGTCATGGGAGATACTAGATCTGCCCATTGATTTAGAACAGAGGTGGGCAACTATGTCAACTTTACCACCTGTGGACTTCAACTCCCAGAATTCCTGAACCAACCAGGAATTCTGGGAGTTAAAGTCTGCAGGTTGTAAAGTTGACATAATTGCCCACCCCTGATTTAGAAGGATGGGTCACTTCTGATTTCAACCTTTCAATGCACAGTAATGCTCAACAGTTAATATGATTAAAGGGGATCCACTTTGGAAATCAACTTCCCTAAACACCCCTCTGCATCTCTCAGGAAAGTGGCCATCTTCACAAGCCGCAACGTTTCAGTTAAAACAAACTGCATGCATACTGACTCCATCCCCCAAAGCATGCACAGGGCTGCCACCACAAACCGTCAATATAGATTATTCCTGGTCTGAAGCGAAGTTTCTTGGCTGCTTCTCGGTTGAGACCCTGACAAGGAGAAGCAAAACAGGCTTCAGTTCAAAAACTTTGCCCAGGTTATCATGCTTCATCTACTAGGGCAGGGGTTCCCAACCAGGGATGCAAGATGATATTCCAGGGGGTGCGAAAACTTGGGTCTTCAAAATTATAGTGTATATGCAAAATTCATTGCCGTTATTTAGAACTTTTGTAAGGAGTGCGAGAATATAGAAGCGTTCCAGGGGTATAGAAAAGATTGGAAGCTGCTGTTCTAGGGGCTTCTGCTGTTTGGCTGCCCCCCCCCCCCCGTTTGGAGGTCAAACATACCTCTTGCACCTGCCGCAACATTGAGCTGGAGGCAAGACCCGCCGAAAAAGCCAGGAGAACCTAAAACAGTAGGGAGAAAGCATCACAAAATTTGTTTCCCGCTTTTAGCTGCCATCCTGCCCATCTCTCTTGCCCTGAAGCAGTGAAGATTATGATAGGACAGGACCTTCTCTCCAGGGTAAATGCAGCGGTTCTTCCCAAGCATGGCACGGAATTTGTGAACAAAGTAGTCCTTGAAGCAGCCCCTGCAAAGCACGTGAAACAGTGTGGGGAAAAGCCCAGATTCCTTGCCAAGGAAAAAAAAATTCTGCACCAGGATGGGGAGAGCCGTTCTGAATTATTCAAAATTCTCCACCTCACCCTCAGTTGCCTGTTGCACTCACTTGCAGAAGGCATCTCCAGCACGAATGATCACCACCGGGGAGCCCTCCTTGCACTTCATGCATTTGGAGTCACAGCTTGGGGAAGAGAAAGTGAAGATCAGGCTGCAAAGAGTCTTATCCGATACCCAAATCTTATCCTCCTCCTGTATCTCTCCGACACGGCAGTACCTTTCTAGTATAAATAGTGCTTTTCAACCTTGGCAACTTTACAGATGAGTAGACTTCAACTCCCAGAATTCCCCAGCCTACCTACCCATCAATCCATCCACGGCCTGGGGGATTCTGGGAGTTGCAGCTTACCCGCCTTAAAAGCTGAGCAGCTGTGCCGAGTCATGGTTTGCTCAAGCCCAGTTTGCCTAACAAGCCACTGCTTATGACTAGGATATGTCCGCAAGTAGCCTTCCCATTATCGGCTCATGCAATGGTGGCTTGTTCAACAAGCCAAGGATTGTTGGCATGCTTCCCCTCCGCCAACGACCGCGGGGACTCGGGATCAGCGGGCGGAGCTTCCTCACCGGCCCTGGGGCGCCTCCCTCGGGAGCGGCTCCCCGCCGCAGCCGCCCGCACCGCCGCCGTCGCACATCGCCGCCTCCGCCCCGGCCACGTGGAGCGCCGCAGTCCCGCCGGCGCCTCCTGATGACGTTAAGCGGCCTCCCCCGCCCCTTTCCCCGGCCGGGAGACCACGATTCCCAGAGGGGCCCTTCGCGCGCCCGCGCACCGCGATGGCGCCGCGTCGCCGGCAAGTCTCGCGAGAGCCGTGGCGAGGGGCAACTCCGGCATCGTCCCGGCCTGGGACGCGGGGAGGTCGCGGGGGCGATGACGTAGTTGGGATGCGCCGCTTTCCCTGCCTGCCTCCCCTTCCGCGATGGCGGCCGCGATGTTCCGGAGCTTGCTGGTGTCGGCGGGGGGGTCCCGCGAGGCGCCCTCCGCGCCCGGCCCGCCGGGCGCCGCCCCCGCCCCGCCGCCGCCTCACCCGCTCGAACCCGGCGCCGCGCTGGAGGCCCAGTTCAGCTGCCCTATTTGCCTGGAGGTCTACCAGCGCCCGGTCCGCATCACCCCCTGCAGGCACACGTGAGCGGGGGGAGACGGGGGGGCTGAGGGGAGGGGGCCGTGGTGGAGGAGTGGGGGTCAAGGGCCCCGGACAGAAAGCGCCGGGGGGGGCGAAGCCAGACCGCGAGGCCCCCTGCATGGGGGGGCTGCAGAGTGGGCCCTCCAGGTGTTTTTTTGGGGGGGGGAGCAACTGCAGCTGAAGTTCCCGGACGGGCCCGTGAACAGCAGTCCCAGGGGAGCATCCAAGGGGTCCAGCTTCCCCTCTCACCGTGGAGGGGGCCAAATTCTGCTCCCGCATTCTTGATTTGTAAGGTTACTGGGGTTTCCACTTGGCGCTTGGGGAGGAATTCCTGATTTCGGGAAGGCAAGGGCAGGACAGCGTGGCTTGCCTTAAAATCAGGAGACCCTCATCCACAGAGGCAGCAAATGCTCCGAAGCATCTCTTCAGTTTTGTTGATGCATGGATCATGATCTAGTACAGGGGTCTCCGAAGTTAGCAACTTTGTGACTTCTGGGAGTTGAAGTCCACAAGTCTTAAAGTTGGCCAGTTTGGAGACCCCTGATCTAGTGCATGTCCTTGGGCTTCCTTTTGGCTGAAGCCCACCAGCCCTCCATCTTGGGAGGGGAATCCATCCCCTCTTCACATTACCTTTTGAGCACTGTGGGCAGTTTTCCCACAGCTCTCCAGACTCTGGGAGAAATCAGACCTCTTTCTTCCTTAGATTTTGTGGGGAATGCCTGCAGCCCTGTCTCCAAGTTCCATCTCCTCTCTGTCCCCTTTGCCGCATGCCCTTTGACCCCAAGAAGGTGGAGAAGGCCTCCAGTGTGGAAAAGCAACTGTCTTCCTTCAAGGCACCATGTCGAGGCTGCAGTAAAAAGGTAATCTTAAGGGCTTGTGCACTTAGGCAGAGGCAGCAAAGCTAGATCATTATAAGCCGGCTTGCTTTTTACTGCCTGCAGTAAAAAAAAAATACAGAAGGCTTCAAATGGATATCCATCCTCTCTTAATCCTTCCTGTATCCCAGGTGACCCTTGCAAAGATGAGATCTCACATCACATCATGTGCAAAAGTCCAGGAACAAATGGCCAACTGTCCAAAGTTTGTGCCTGTCGTCCCAACATCCCAACCTATTCCAAGGTATTTCCTTCTTTGCAGCTTCGAGCCCCTCCCCAACTCACTGGTTTCCAGTTTTTAGAATATCTCCTGCACTCTCAAGCAAGGTTAGGAGGGAAAGAGAGAGTCCAGCATCTCTTTAATAAAGAAGTTGGAAGTATTATCCTTGTGGGTCAGTGTTTCGCAAGTTAAGCAGCTTGAAATTGTGTAGACCTCGGTTCCCAAAATCCCAGAATAGGGTGGACTTCAACTCCCAGAATTCCTCAGCCAGCATGCTGAACTTAGGTCCAACCATCTTCTAGTCACTGAGCGGTGCTGTTGTTCCTTTCAGCAATATTCCAAACCGATCCACGTTTGTCTGTCCCTATTGTGGAGCGCGGAACCTGGATCAGCAGGAGCTAGTGAAACACTGCATGGAGAATCACCGCAGTGACCCTAACAAAGTGGTGAGTTGTGTTCATGTCCCTTTGAAACGGAAAGCCAAATTAGCCAAAAACTGAGAATAAGAAGGAAGTAGTCTCTTATTTGAAAAGCGGGAGAACTTTTGCTTATTTCCTCCCCCTGTTTATGCCATAGCTGGAGTGCCCTGCCGTGCTTTTATAAACCAGGGATAATAAAATGCACCTCTGCAGCTGCAGTGGCAAATATGCTTCTCTGCTGCTGCAAAGGCTATGCCTATCTTGTCCCTTTCATGTGAAGCTGCTAAAGAAATTAACTGTGTTTCAGGAACAAAACTGGTGGTGTATTTTCCTCATGTAAAGTCATGGAAGTGTCCCGGGGATCTAAAAGCATGCCTCCCTTTGTCCCAGCTTCACTTAATTGCTCGATTTGTGTATGATCTTGTGACTGTTGGGAGCTTTATTTGATGGTGCTATTGGTTTTAATATCATCACTTGTCTCTGAAATTTTATAGAGAATAGAATATTAATACATCTGCATTTAGGGTGTTTTATGGCTAGCAAAACATGTATTTTCGAAGCTGGATTCTGCATGCTGGACAACAGGAAATTGTTCTGTTTTCTTTTTTTCCCCATGAAGCGATCACACCATTGCTTCTAACTGTCACTTTGATCCTGGAATTGAGTGTTTCTTCTTCTTCTTTGTTGACTGTCCTCTTTTTCTCTCCCTGGGTGTTCCAGGTCTGTCCAGTCTGCTCAGCCATGCCTTGGGGGGACCCCAGTTACAAGAGTGCCAACTTTCTACAGCATCTCCTGCACAGGCACAAGTTTTCCTATGACACGTTTGTGGTGGGTACTGCATTCCATAGCATGTTATTTCAGTGGATTGTGTCTGCTGCTTCCAGACCCCAAGGCAGCATGAGAATCGCCTTTAATAATAAAAGCAGATCAAATTGCCCTTGTGGGAGGAGTTTTGGCAACACTGGAGTGGTTTCCTTTTAGTGTTCTTAATGTCCTGCTCTTGTACAAGTCCCTGCCATCCTGGTGGCCTCAAATAAGGTCACAAGAATGTATTGGCATCAGAGGTATTTTTCTGTGCCCCCCCCCCCACCTGCCCACCTGGCCGCACCAATGTGGGTGCAATAATAGGCACAGACTTCAAAAATCATTGCTCCCTCCTGGTCAGATCCTATCTGAACTACTGTGTCCAATTCTAGCACCATAGTTCCTAAAGGACGGTGATACAGGTTAGAGTGATTTCCTAGGAGGACCACCAAGATGGTGAAAGGTCTAGAAACCAAGCCTTTCGTGGGTGGGTCTGGACAGGTGTACTCTGCAGTAGAGAGAACTGAAGGCAGCCTTCACATTTCTGAGGAATGGTTACCCAGAAGAGGAAGTAGGCCTGTTGCTCAGAGGGTAGGACCAGACCCAGTGGGTCAAAACTACAGGGAAGGAGATTCAAGCTAGATCTAACAATATGAACCATCAGCCAGAGGAAAAGCTGCCTCGTGAAGACATGAGGTGTCCTTCACTGGAGATGGTCAAGCAAAGGCTGGATGGTTACTTTAGCAGAGGCGTATCAGTGGATTCTGCAGAGAGTCAGGGGTCCTAGATGACCTCTAAGGTCATTCTGAACTCCAGCCTGCCCTGCATGGAAAGTGGGGGCTCTTCTGCTCTTTGCTACAACATTCTCCTGCTTTCTTTCCAGGACTATAACATTGATGAGGAAGCGGCTTTACAGGCAGCCCTGGCGCTCTCCCTCTCGGAGAACTGAGGGCCTTTGACACTGCCGAGCAGCAGACAGGAACTGCTGCAGATTTGCCTGACTCTCCTGCGTTGGAGCCATGCGCCGCTTGCCATGCCCGTTGGCTCCCGGAGGGCGGCTGTGGCCGTCTCCTCAACTTTTGTCTTGCCTCGTTCGGTCTGGAAACCTCTTCCTTGGGGCAGGGGCAGCGAAAAGGGGTGCTTCCCTTTCCCCGGCTCCATCGGACCTGCTCTGTACTACCAGTTGGACGTTCCCCATGCCACTCAGTACAGATGGTATACTTTATTAAGATGCTCTTAATACAGTTTTAGCACCATCAGCCCTCATTCCGTTAGCGGTTTATATAGCAACAAAACATTTTGTGGGGAAACCGTCGTTTACATTTTTTATTGCCTGTGTCTTTGGGTTAATTCACTGGATCTTTTTAATTTGGGGGAAAACAATCAGCATGGGAGACTTAAATCTTGTACGAATATTTATTATGCGCTTGGGTGCAACTTGCCTGCTCCTTGGCCATCGTGGCGAGGGATTGGGGGATAAACCCGTGCATGGAAAGCAGTCTTTCAAAGAGGTTTGTGATGCCCAAGCAAGACCAGAAGGCCGTTCCTGACTTGAGCATAATTGTTTAGCCAAATCTCTCTCTCCTCTCCCCACAACTGACCTTGCTCGTTTTGTATCTGCTTTTGTGATACTCTAGAAGTTCTTGGTGGTTTTTTTCTACATCTCTCCATGTAACAAATACTCTTCACATTTTATAGAGAGAATACAAAGCAGTTAACCCTTGATATTGCAATATCTGTGTTTGACTAGAAACAATAGTATTTTTATGGAACATTATTTTTCAAAGTATATTTTTTAAAGAAAAGTGCCCTGGGTTCCAGATCTTCGGGCTCTCAGGAGGAGGGTCTCAAACCTGGAGGGAAGGAGGTGCTTCCTTAATTTCTCAGCAATCGGTCGGTGGTCTTTTTGGAGGGTTTGAGGATTTTTGTTCTCTGCAAGAAAAGAGGGGGGAAAGACAACTTTTGGGGGTTTCCTTCAAGTAGCCTTTTAAGGGATTGTTGCAAGTTGTTACAAAGCAGAACTGCTAAGACTTTATTATCCAGGTGTTCGGATTGTGGGTCGGTGGGCCTGAAGTCGACTGGAAACAAATAAAAGCTGTGAATAAGCTACAACTGGGGTGTGTCTGTGTGTGTTCAGAGCAGCCCTAGCGTTCGTTCGGCTGTGAATCCAGCCACGGGCATTTCTCTGTGTGTAACAAACTAGTATTGCAGTTTATTCTCACTCCACGTTGATATGTTTGGTACCGAACGATATGTTCGGGGGTTGACTTTCACCGAACAGAAACGAATAACCCGAACATCTTTGTTCAGACTGAACGTCCACGCAGTACAAGGAGACGTCGAACCAACAGAAATAATAGGTCCACAAACAGGAAGTGAACGATTTGGAAATTATTATTATCATTATTTCAACCTTCGGACCTTGGAGGTCATCTAGTCGAACCCTCTGCTCAGGCAGGAAACCTTATACCATTTCAGACAAATGGCTGTCCAGTATCTTCTTAAAAACCTCCAGTGATGGAGCACCGACAACTTCTAGAGGCAAGTCGTTCCACTGGTTAATTGTTCTAACTGTCAGGACCTAGAACTGTTAGTTCTAGGTTGCTTCTCTCCTTGATCAGCTTCTATCAGTTGCTTCTTGTCCTGCCTTCAGGCGCTTTGGAGAATAAATAGCTTGACTCTTCTTTGTGGCAGCCCCTGAGATATTGGAACACTCTGATATTTCTTCACTCTGATAGGGAGAAAACAGCTGGGCTGATGGTTTTCCAAAGCTGAAGGGTTTTGCAGCCATTGCATGGATGGGTAAGGTTTTGGCACTAGTCTTAGGAACGAGGGAAATATATGTGCAAGTGTGCCCTTGCCATCGTTCCACCCCATGTGTGTCCCATATCCTTCTCCCCACAAAATTTGTAAGTTATTGAATGTTCTTCCTTGGTTGACAGAGAAAAAACAACTTTTGAGCATTCGGTAAGGTCTCTGTTGTCTAGAGGGAGGTGCTATTCATTCCTCCCACCCACCCACCAATATTTGATGACATGTTCTGAGGTTCCCTTCCCTCCTCAGCCCCCAACACCTCCACATGCTTTCCAGGTCCTAACGGTTCCTTTGGAGTCTCTCCAGGAAAGCCTGCATTCCTCAGGCAGCTCAGCCTTATATAGCCTCCCGCAATCCCAGGCCGTCTGTGCATTTGAACAGCCACCATCCCTACCAAGTGCCACTTAACATTCTCTGCTAGGCAGAAGGGCAGGCAGTGAGCTCATGCAGCTGCCCTCCAACGTGGGATGGGGGGGAGAGGAAAAGAAGGCCTCCTGCCCTACCTAGTGTCCCCTTGTAGGTCAGGGACCCTCTTCGGCTCCTCCGGCTGCGCTGTGCTCCGTTGGGAGCAGCCCTTCCCCCCCCTCCCCCTGGGTACCTTTGCTGGAGAGGGCAGCACTTCTGGGTCATCCAAACCCACTGAGGGGCCCACCTAGGAGGGGGCTCGTTCTGAGGGACCATGTCTATTCTCATGAGGTCCACCCTACAGCTCCTGTGCCCCCCCTCCAACTTAATACATGGGTAGTGTAGTAGATATCAAATTCCTATCCTGCCCAAAAGCTGCCACATTGTCTTGCAGGACTGTCGGGGCTCTGAGGAACAGCTGGTGGAGGGTCCCCCTCTGCCCCCTGCAAAGAGAGGTCTGGTGTGCAGCTGCCTGGAAAGCTGCAAGGGAGTAAACAATAATAGAAGGCTGGCTGACCCTTTTGCGCATGAGGAATGCTCTTCCTCTGTTCCTAGAAATAGACCTGGCCTGTGACTGCTGATACATATTTGGAACAAAAAAAAAATCCTTTTCATCCCCCTTTTGAGCAAGCAGGGGAAGGAAAAAACCTCTGGGGCTGAGCTGATTCTGGAAGAAGCAGCTCAGAAGAAGAGGAATTCTGTGCCCAGGTGAGTGAGCTGGTTGGGAGGGGCTCCTGCTGCAAATCCCACCCTGCCTTTCCCCCAGATGGGTGTAGGACAGGTGGATTTCACTTCCCAGAATCCCCCAGCCAGTTATGAAGGGAAGCAACCCTGCCCTGCTTTCGATTCCAGCCCAAAGGATTCTCTTGAATCGTGGGAGTTGATGGAGCAGGAAGAATGAGGTTTCCCCAGTGTTGAGTTGAATGTTAGGCCAGGTTCAAGTCCCCTGAGCCCCCAGGGTTTCCCACAGTCCTGGCATTCCGTGGTGTTCCCTTAGTTCAGTGGTTCTCAACCTGTGGGTCGGGACCCCATTTGGGGTCGATCGACCATTTCACGGGGGTCGCCAAGCAAGGCTGTCCGCCATTTTTTTTGTCCGCCATTTTTTCCCCTTTTCCGGCGGGTGCCTTACCTCCCTTGGGCTGGGCCAGCTGGTGGTCGGCCTGCTCCGTCTCTGCCGCTTGCCAGCTACGCCTCGGC